GACATGGAGGGAGGGAGAGCAAGAGAAGGTGGTGAGGGGAGCGAGAGGAGGCGGGGGGAGTGTCAGTACAATTTACTAACACAACAGTGAACAGCGAAGCAGGCCAAGACACAGAGCGAGCGAGTGAGAGGGAGGCGGAGTGAGAAAGAGACTTGCAGTTCAAGAATGCCATTGAAATGCAGCACACATACAAGTATACAAAAAAAGTGTTTACTGTATATTCACATGATGCTGATACATGCCACAGTCCTGCTGGATTCACATGTGCATTGTTCACTTCCCGTGGCACCAGAGAGGGATATGACTCCTATAGGGGGCTAATATCCAATTATCAGTGCTATGAGAAAGCTCCGATTAGATTTCGAGGTTGCAGAAAGGAGCACTTGACAGATGTGTTGCTGGACGGCTCTAGGTTGGAAATGTCATAAGAGCCTCAGTGTCACCGCATGCAGTCAGCCCCGAGGTCGTTTCTCATAATAACCCCAATACAAAAGTAATCCAATAGCAGCGCAACCCACGCCTGGAAAATCCAACCTGGATGATTAGAATTGACAGGGGCGTTAGCTGAAACAGAACATGTCAGCGTCTGTTTCAAAGGAACAAAAATGGAAAAGCGTGAAGTGGTATTTTTGTTATTCAAAAAAGGACTGAGTCCCTGCTTCCGTTGGTGTTCAGTGTCTAAAGTTTATCTTCTTGCCCCTGATTTAGAGTTTCCTTCAAGATGTAACCACACTGTAGATTTACAACCAACCCCCTGCAGTCTCTGGACAGTCAATCATTTATGCTCTGTAGGCTGAAGCTTGAAAGGTCAGTTCAACTAAATGGCAAAACCACATTTTTTTCTCCTTGTAGTTCAAGGGGAGTCTCTAAACAAATAGTTTTGAGTGAAGTTTCAGCCGTTATTGAGACCTTCCTGTAGACCAACAATACTCCGAGCTCCTTTTGTGGGAATTTTGATTTTTGTTGCCAGAACAGAAACTCTTATATTCTTGTGGAGTCAAGTAAATAAAAAAATCTCCCTCCTTTTTAAGAGATGAATATTTCACTTGTTGAGAGTCTTTGCTTAGGAAAGAGAAGGATAACTGCTAACTACTTTGTCGGACCACTACATGGCAATGGTTTTGGGCATGAAAAATAACTATATACAGTGGGAATGGGCTTGTTTGCTTTTTATAGCACATAGAGGCATCAATTATGATTTTAGTCTATTTAACAACCAGATTTAAACTCATACAAGCCTTCAGAAAGCTTTAAAAGTTCATCTCTCTTTAGTTCATTTCTGATTGTCTTTATCAGTAAATAAAATTTGCTTGTGTGCTTTAACATAGTCTCAGAACAGAAGACATTAGATGATAAAAGTAGCTAAAGGGTAGTGTTGTAGTTTTCGTTACACGTGAGCCATTGGGGAACAGAGGGTCAGCACTGTTTTTATGACCATGCATTAAAATTAGACCACTGATATGCAGCAGTTTGCTTAATTCAGCAGTTAGGACTACTGACAGGTGTTAGGGAGCTAATTTAGCAGTATTAGACCACTAACAGCTAAGTGACAGTTTGTTTAGCAACGTTGACCACTGACAAACAAGACTGACAAATGACAGTCAGCCTAGCTTTAGCATGAGGACTGAAAAGATTGGGAAACAGCTAAATGTTACTGTGAATGCAGCAGTTATTTGAACTTTATTTTGAAAGGATGTGGTTTTATTTTGTAGTGAAGCAAGCGGAAGTAGCTTTATGGATTACGATAGTTACGCAAAAAGGGTTTACTCTGTATTTTGCTCATTTCTCTGATTATTTTTCCACCACTGTTTTAAGTTTGTGTTTGATAAAGATTGATGTATGAAAATAGAAGAAACTGCCGTTGATTGCCTTGAAGCAGGCCAAATTGGTTTGTGTTGTGTACTTTGTTTGAAGTTGAAATTAGCATGAATGTCATTTATTGCTATTTTGCTGAAGCTCGTAAGCTAACGCTTTTACTTTGTTTGAATTTTAGTTCTACAGTGTTTTCCAACGGTGTAAGAGCTGAAAATGATGTCACACCTGAGTTCCCAGTGTTTCAGTTACCAAGTTGGAAAAAGTTCAATCGAAGGCGGAAACAAGTTGCCTACATCTACGAAAGTTATTTCAGCACTTGCCTTGTCCTTGTTATATTCCGATGAGGCAGATGAGGTTGCTGTTTTACTGGAGAAACTCCTCAGAAATGTTAGTGGGACTCTGAGGTTTTTTAAGTTAAACAGTCACTGAGCTGCATTTTTTACACAACTTACCTTAAAAACCAGGATGAGAGACACACTCACTGTTTTACAGTCATTTGTTTCTTAGTCTTTTAACACTTATTCTAATACTGGCTAAACTAAGTGGCTGCTAAACGGAGGTGAAGGCTGTATTAATCTTTGCATTAAACTCTTAGAAAGAAATCAAATAACATATTTGTTCATAAAATATCAATTTACCTTTAATGTTTGGCCCACCTAAGGTGAAACACTATTGGTAATGGCAGCAGAACAAACAAAACAAAACAAAACGTCTGCGAATTTACCATCATAAAATATGTATTTTAGTTTTTTGGGGTGAACCAACTGTTTAAGGACAGAAAGAAGCGAGCATGATTTATTTTTTCATGCACATGCGTATATCTTGGGATGCATATTTAATTGTACCAGCTGTTTGACTGAGCTGCCGTGATACTACACCATGCAGTGTGGTGATAAACAGATACAACATGGAGAAACTGAGGAGAAACGATAGACACAGAAAGAGGAGGCAAAAGAGGAGTGCTCATTAAAAAGTTACATGTCTGCTGTAGATAGAGAGAGGTACAGTCGGAGGAGACAGGTAGACCACCAGAGACAAAGTTAACAAAAGACGAAGGCAAAATAGCAGAGCCAGGTTTCAGAGACGGCAGAGAGGAAGAAAGTTTGCATCGAAAACGGAGGAGGTGAAGGAGGAGAGCAGACAGAGAGAAAGAGGCAGACAGACAGACAGACAGACAGAGAGGGGATTAAATGAACAACTGCTGAGAGAGAAAGAGAGAGAAAGGAAGACAGAGGGATTCCCCAATGGCATCTCATCTCTCTCTCTTTCTTGCTCTCCTTTTCCTTATTTCCCTCCTTTTTTTCTCCCAATAAATCATTCTGACTTCTCCTTAACCAACTCATTCCCAGCAGGCGGCAAGAAAACTGTAACAATCTTTCTCCTATCTGCTATCACTCTTTTTTTCTCACTCCCTCCTCCTTCTCCTCCTCCTCCTCCTCCTGTCTCTCTTCGTGTCTTGTCGTTCTGGCCTCTTCTTCTCTTTTTAGCACACTCACACACTTCGGGCGCACAGTTTGTGGCAGCAAAGGTGACGGGGCAAATTACTTGACATTTTTGTCTGTCACTGAGCATTCAGCTGTATGAGCCATAAAGATAACTCTGACTTTATTATCCTAGATGTGAAATAAGTTAATAATATTCATTTAAAAAGGGTAATAATAATAATAATAATACATTTAATTTGTTGAGACCATCAGACTGTATATAGTATGGACAGCGTCTGCCTCCTTGCTAGGTGAAGCCACCCTGAGAACAGCACCCTCTGGTGACGGGCTGCAGTATAGGTCATAAATCCCGCCTCCTCCAGCAATCCCTATGGAGCTGTGGACAAACTTTAGAAAATTAATTACACATTATATACATTTTTCCCCCCTGCTTGCAGTGTTGACATGTACATTCGTTATTGTAAGACTAGTTTGTGCTCTCCAAGTCCTCTTTTTTCTGTACCGTTTTTAAAAGGTATTAGGGGATTCATGTTTTCTATGATTGACACTTGATACAACCTATGGGCATACAAGGATTGCGGTAGGGGAAAGTCCTGTCTCCTTCGCCTCTGATTGGCTAGAAAAGCTGGGAACGTCATCACACACTCAAGCCAAACGTGGGCTGTTGGCTCTGTACATTGAACAGAACATTATAGAACATTATTGCACTTCTGAATCTCCTAACCCTAACCCTAACTCGACAGACGATGACGTTTCACAGCCATTAGGAATAACCAATCGGAGCCCAGCAATTCTAGCCAATCAGAGGCGAAAGAGGGCGGGACCTTCCCTTACCATCCAACAAACAAAAAAAAATCGCATCCAGGAGATGAGCTGTTTGGGCCGAGCGTCATCACGACTCTCGGTGACTCTCCTGCTGAATGCGTACAATGCTACTGCGCAATGTTGGTTTCAGGAAATGGAGAAAAAGCGCGGCATAACCAAGAGCTTTTTGGCTTCAAATCTGTATGCTAGCGGAAGGTGGAACCAAGTTGTCCATAGTATATAAAGTGTATGATTAGGGCACCTGTTAAGGCACTCAAGGTCGCCTTACAATATAAATAGAATACAGAACAAAAATAAAAGATTTAAACTTAAATAAGGTTAAAACCAAATACGATAGAATACATTAAAACATCATATAAAACATTACAATACATTAAATTAAAGGAGGGGATACAGTGCTGTAGGTTAGATGGAGTATGCAAGTGTGAACAGGTATGTTTTGAGTTGGGATTTGAACAAAAGTCACATAAGAGTTTTTGAAAACTTTAACAAACCTCTGGGACATCACAGTAATCATGCCTAACACACATTGTAAAGTCATCTTTATTTACTTTAAAGTGGAGATTAACATGCTTGTTTATATGCTGCAGCTTTAAGACGATTGTGCATGATGTTAGTGCTGTATTAAATTGACTTATGCTGTCTCGGGATCCATGCCATGAGGATTGATGTTAAGGGGACATGGTGAGTGCGTGCAGGAGGACAAGAAAGGTGTGTGTGTGTGCAGGGGGGGTAGCATTGATAAATAGACTGCAGATGGTGGCTGCAGACGTATCTGACAAAGGGAGGACTTAAAGCTTTCTACTTTTACGCCGGGAGAAAAAGAGGGGGTCGAACAGTTGACGAAAAGAAAAAAAAAAAAACTTCAAGTCGCAGTGATGCCTGATGTGCTGCGATTCGACCACTATATCGAAGGAATGCGCTTTTGTCGCTCGGAGGGGGTGGAGTTAGAAAGTGAACGAGTGCTGCCTACCAAACAGAGAGAGGAGGAGAAGGAGGAGAGGAAGAGAGAGGAGAGAGACGGGTGGGCAGGCTGCTCACCGTAAACGATGGTCTTGGGATAGAGTGTCTTGGAAGACCTCATGAAACTGGCCGGTTGAATTGTAGCGATTATTGATCCCGGCGTGCTTTGCATCCCACGGATCTTTGGAAGGAAGGAAAGACCTGCAACAAACAGCAGCAGCAGCAGCGCGTTGAATGAACACTTGAAAAAGAGGACTTGCTTTTTATTCATTATTTTTCACATTTTTTGTACAGTTTATTTGCTCCCATTGAGCAACTCTTTCCCAGTGGTGAGGGCCCTTTCATGCCCGGAGGTAGACCGACCCCACTCTTGGACCCGATACCGGCCCCCTGCACTCCTCTGGCGGGCTCAAGCGCAGCACTTCCCGGTGAGAAGAGAGGACTCCCAGAAAGACCCTTGTTGGATTTGTGCGGGAGGGAACAAGGGGAGGGTGAGGGGTACGCAGCTTGTGGTTTATGGGGGGGAAGTAGGGACCTCGGTAACTTAACCCCACAATAGACTCAGAGTTTTACAACACTTATTAACCACAAAGAGTCGTCTAGTCTTTGTATCGTTTGTATTGTTTGTATGCAGGCTTGAAGCTTTTTGCCCTTCCCCTCTCTCTCGTCTGTCTGGTAGGCATTTGCTGGGATGTTTGAGTCGCGTTGTTTGGTGGGGTGAAGGGACCGAGAGAGTGGCCGGAAAAAAGAGAGAGACCCCGAGGGACGGAGGGCCGAGAAAGGAGCCGGGAGCATGGCTCTGGTGGTGCTGTCTCTCTGGGCGCTAACGAGTCTCACCTGGGCGGACCTGAGCCAGGTGTCAGCCAACAGGCATTCCGTGTACTGGAACAGCTCCAACATACAGTAAGACCCCCACTCCTCCTGTGTTTCAGCGTGTGAAGATGTGCCTTTTTCCTTTGATCTCTCTATCCTCCACCTGTTAAAGGGGCTGGAAATGCCCCTAATCCCCCAGCTTTGGTTCACTCGTAGTTTTTATGTGATTAATGCAGTTTTAACCCAAACTTGGAGTATATTTCACTGTTTAGGAATTATATATATCTGCTAAAACTATTCAAAAATGGCCTCTCATGTTGCTCCGTAGGGTAAAGCTATTTTGAGTCTGCCCTGTCAGACCCCTGCTGTGCAGTCAAGGTGGCTTCAAACCATCTTTTCAACACCTCCACTTGCACAACATGCAGGACATATTGAGTTTCAGCTCCCCGGTCAAACGTGAATCCATGTAATTACTTCCCATTGTTTCTTTTGCGTACCTTTGCACTATATATTTTCAAGAATTAGAAAGAAACAGGATAGAGAATCACATGTGATTCCTCACTGTCCTCCCTCCTCTCTCTCTCTGTCATGTAACTCGTCCCTCTCAGTCTTTCTCTGTCTTCTCCTCTATCTGGTTCAATTAGGAGCACTTCTTCATCCTGACCCCATTGTGTTGGAGCAGTGTCACTATTCAATCTCTCCTTTGCGCTCCCTCTCCAGCTTGCTCTCTCCTTCTATCCCTCTCTAACCCCCTTTCTTGTTTACACTCAGTCCGTTGGCCTTTTTGTTATCCTCCTAATCCCTCGCTTCTCACCCCATCTTGATTCAAGTGAAAGCTTTTTTTTTTCTCTTCTCTTTTAATACTGTCCTCCTAAGTCCATAGCTCTGCTGCTGGATTCTTAGGAGTGAAGCATCACTCTGCAGCAGCACTCTGTAGGTTTATCTGTCTCCTTACAACCCCAGTGAAATCCTCTAAATTTATGTTTTATTAGCCGGGTTTCATCATGGCTTGAAATACGCATTAACTCACTTTCTTCTCAGTCCAAAATATGAATAAAAAGCAGTGCTAATTTGCCACTGAATAACACATTTGGAATGAAATATTTCCTAATTTTAAACATTTTATTCTAGTATGCAATCAGTAAGTTGTGCCACCCAATCAAACGCAATTGAATGAAAAATTCAACGATCAAACTAAATTGAAAATGATGAAGTACCCTTGAGCGCATGTCACACTCCTTCCTATTTTCTCTCCATGTTGCAGGGAATCCTGTCTGCTTTATTTCGGGTACTAGAGGCTTCTCAAAAGACTTGTGCTTCTGGTATTTACCTCTTTGGGAGGATTTAGTGGTCCCCTAAGAAGTGTAGTCTGATATAAAGCGGCACCGATTTTACGACTGCTTTTATTAAAGACGTAAACTACAGGAAAAGTCAGAAAAATACAGTTATTTTTGCAGGAGGATTGATGATTCATTTTCCGGCAGTGATTTTAGTTTACGGCTTGAAATAAAACTACGAAAGGCGAGCGAATATATTCCTCTCAAAAGAATAAGTAAACATGATGTTAAATAATAGCAGCCGAAAACATAAGGTTATTGGATGTTGTACAAGACTGTAAACAATATTAGTTTTCTGGAATATGAGGAAATCATTTCCACACACTGCTGAAAAACTAATACTGCATGCACAGTTACAGCTAATGCATTTTAGCTGTAATTTCTCTACAACTCTCACTTTGGAGAGTGCTCATTTTCAATTTCTTTGCTTTTTTGCTTTGTAATAATTCAGTAATGAATGCTAATGAAATTCTACCTTGGGTTTTCATATCACAGACAGAAGTTGATTTGGATAAATTGTGGAGAAACTGCTTGAAGGCATAAAGGCGAAGAAAAGGGGTGAACTTGTGCCCCTTGGTACAATGACTTTAACATAACACGAGTATTTTTAACCTTGGAAAAACGAAGCTTCACAGAGTGATTTATCAGCTCCTTTTAGAGATATTCGGACTGTTTATTGTTCAGTTGGAAAAGGAGAAAGCTGCTGTTGGCTTTTGGACACAGCAGTGGGAGGACTACAGAAGACTTGAACAGGCTAACCTTTAACCCGCCTGGTCGAGACCTTAGTGCTGCACAGCCTTGCAGAGTCTCCTCCTCTCTTCACATGTTCACTGCCAATAATTTCTTTTCCTGATCCCAGTTGCACAAGACTCTTAGCCCCTGCAGTGGGTCTTAGTGTGTGTGTCTTTTATAAAAGACTGTGGTTAATTAAAGAACACTGCATCTCAGTGGACCTGCTTCACTCCTGATCTTCCCTTCTCTTCCTCCCTCCCTCTCTCTCTCTCCTTCTCTTTCTCACTGCACACTGACACAATGACAATGTATGAGCTGTGAGAGGGATAACTTTTTCATTCAGCCTAGTCATTGAATTAAGAGACAAAAGGGACATGGACAGTAGCTCACAAAAGACAGACACACTGCAGGATAACCTGGCTAATCTACTCTTTCATACACCTTTTTTTAATAGTTTTTCCCCCCCTACAGCAAACGATCCCATGTCCTCTATTTATTTTGATCTCTGTACACAATACCACAGCATTCGACGTTACTAGATTTGGGAGGCGTGCGAGTAGCCGTTGGCAGTGGGCGTCTCTGGAGTTTCTGTAACTGGCTGTGCAGTGTGGGGGTTTAGAAGGCCAATAATAAGCTGTAGTATAGCTGTCAGTTTGAGTGGTAAACACATTGTAAAGCCTCAGGACCCTGCAGTTTCTCAACCAGAGTCTGACCCCGAGCAACTCATCAACAACAAGAGACAGGCTAAAACTGTTACCATGGATTAACTGCTTCCAACACACACACAAACATACACACGCACGCACAAATCACACACAAATGCACATGTGGCTACGCTAGCATGCTCACATACATCTATGATTATGTCAGTGCACACACTCACACACACACACACGCACACACAGACATGTACACACACCTCCCTGCCTGTGTACTTTTTTGTAACTTCAAGAAGATGGATCATTTCCAGCTTTTGCGTCCTGCACAAAGGCGGTTGCCATTGCCTATCAGTCACTTGTCACTGATATCCCTGGGCATGAATGTGTGTAACACTGTCTATGTGTGTGTGTGTGTGTGTCTGAGAATGATTGTAAGTGTGTGTTTGCCCTGCTACAGATGTCTCTGCCCATCGATGGGTGACCGAAACAAAAACGAATCCATCAGTCCGTTAAATCACACATTATCTTCCACCACCTGGCAATTAACCACCACTGTGAGTGTGTGTGTGTGTGCACAAGTGTGTCTGTGTGTATGCATGTAATCTAATAACACAGCAGTTAACCGGTTTGCATAATGGATATCTGCTGATATCTCTTAATTTATCAGCTGTATATTTTTCCAGGCGATTTGGTTGTGCATAAACAAACGAATAAGCATTTCTAGCCGGTAGACTGTGTGTTTGCATATATTTGTGTGTGTGTGTCTGTGTGTGTGTGTGTAGCAATGACATTGTCACCTCAATGCATGCCACTGGAATGAAGCCAGCTATCGCAAGCAGAATTCGCTCCTCATATAAATGCACATGCGTACGTGTGGTAATCGATGCTGAGGTGGAACTTGTTTCATATTCATCTGGCTCGTCAGAGTGTGCAGAGACACGTCATGCAGGGTGGCAGAGAAATAATGCAAGACTGTGAGTATGGAGAAAGAGGGAGAGAGAGAGAGACAGTGAGAGAGATACTACAGGACGTGTTAGAGGAGAGAGGAAGTCGGGAATACAGATGTGCTGAATTATAACAGAGCGCAGGGACAGCACAGGGAGGAGGAGGGTCATCATAATAATGATGATAATGCTCGGCCAATGCCCTGATCCACGCTCTGAGCTCTCACTTTAGACACCACAGCGCAGACTGAGTTTGTGTGTTTGTGTGTGCGCACCAAGTAGAGAGTAAGAAGTGAGAGGGGGGAAAAATAGGCACAGACGAGAGGATTAAACAGGCCAATCAACCACCCCCTCGACAGCAACACAAACCTATCTGTCTCCCAGCCCCACTTAGGACAACAACATTTACATTTATGAATATGTACACAATGGAGAGTATTACTCACTCACTATCACAGGACACACGGCCCGCCTGTGTGTTTGCACTCGTATGTATGTGAGAGTGTGCGAATGTGTATACAACTCATCTATCATAGGCGTTTGTGCTGCCGCTTTGGACGCCAGATAACCAGTACACGCAAACGCTCAGACACGGGCTCAGTGATCATCATAACCGTCATAGAGACACGGATTGTTCATTAGTGGTGAATAATTCAGCCACATCGCGAACAGGTGAATGAGCGCTGGTGTGTGTTGCGATGTGTGCGTGTTAAAGAGTGTGTGTGTGTGTGTGGTGCGTAGACGTTTGCACAGAGACGTCATTAATTAAAAGCAATAGGGAACACCTTTGTGATGGATGACTTCTGTTTGCATAATAAGATCCAGTGGTCCCCCCCCTCCTGCTCTCTTTATGTGGGTGCGTTTTTCTGATTGGACAGCTATTGTCTGCTAGCTGAAGTGAGCAATAAGGGACGAGTACAAGAAGAGAGCAAAAGAAATGAATCATTTTCTCGTCCTCCATCATTTCCTTTCTCTTTGAGGATGAGCTAGATTTCAGGAGAGCGCTTCCACCACCTCTCTTTTTGCCTCTCATCCTCCAATTGCCTGATGGGAAAGCACTCTTGGGTGGAGATATTTTGGGAGCTCTGTAGTTTAATGTGAATGTTGTGAGACTCTGTCAAATTAGCTTGGACTGAATCTTTCCGGTGCTAGAAAAACGCGCCGGCTTTCTTTGAGCTCTAGTTTTCCTTCACCTCAGCTCACCTCTCCCAGGATTTCTTTTCGTTCCCCTTTCACCGCTTTACTTTGAGGTTTCGACTAAAGCCAACTCAACGCCTTGTGGTCCTTTAAATTGACGCATAGTCACACTTAACACTCATATTGATCTCGAGTTAAAGACGGGCCCGAGCCCACCGTGTTATCCCACATCTCCTTATTCTCTCTTTTATTTCCTCAGAGCTGTCTCGCTGGCGTGATCAACTAATCGGAGGCATTGCTGTGAAAATGGAGCGTTGATGTTAAGCATTGAGGCTCGCTTATTCTTGAATCAAGTGCTAAATGGTTTTTGTAATGGTTGAAACACAAAAGAAAGCAGATGGAAAGGTATTTCAGGGATGTACACGACCACGTCCAAGCTGAAACAAAGTCAGCCAAAGTTGAGCAAACTCTGATCTAACCTGATGCTAATAAAGGCATTCGGGGTGTAAATGGCTGGGAAGGATTGGCATCGATTTAGGTAACTGTGGAGTCTAAGCGGTGGTTAGTAGAGATGCTCTGCTGCATATATTTACTGAGCCATTACAGAAGACACGCTGGAAATGACTCTGAACGGTTGTGAGGAACAAATACTACTTTTACCTCAGAGCGCATAGAGGCAAAGTAGGACTTGTTTTTCAATGGTTAAGTATTATAATTATTTTTAGACAGTTTGATCGGATTTTCGATAGCAATTTTTTAGAGTTATATTGTGAAAAGGCCATACTCTAACATACCGTACGACTTCAGATGATATGACAAGATAGGATATGTCCTAAAATGGTTAAATAGGGCATGAAACAATAAGCTAAAGTAAAATATAGAATATTTCCATGATAAGACCCGATATGACAGAATTGCCATGATACAAAACAATATGATCTGATACCATATGACACAGTACGATGCAAAAGGGTATGCTATGACACAACATGCCACAGTATGTTCTGATATGATGCCATCTGATATGCTTTCGTAGCCTTTGGGAAATGTGTCCCAGACTCAAGAGCTCTGTTCATTCAGCTGTCTCCCCACTAGTCCTATGAAAGCCGTCCAAAAGGCTCTTAGTAACCCGAACAGCATCCAGAAACATCGTGCACAAGCAGGGTCACAAAAAAAAGTGCAAAGTTAACCTAACGTGAGACCCTTGTGTAAATACAACAAGTTTGCAAAGGAAGAATATAACAACAAACATATTGCATCACTGCTGGTGTTTGAGAAAATGTTCTTGAGAGTCAACCTCAGGGGAGGTTTAGGTGTCGTGTTGTGGGCAGAAGTAGATTCCTAAGCTAGGAACTGCTGCACTCAGTCAAGACGACATGTCTTTTTACTTTCTCCATATTTTCCAGTATTTTTGGAGGCTAAATATCTACAGAAGTGTGAAAAGATTTGGTTTTAATATTCTAAAACTATGGGCTTCATAATTAACTTTAATAAATGAGAAGCATTGACTAATATGACAACCTGTACTTCTTTTTTTGTGTGTCTGATGAACCCAACACAGTAATTTTAACAGCGTACATTCAACACTCTATGTGAGGCTCTTTTAATTGTGACAGACAGTTAAAATAATAACGTAGGTGATGTTTTGACACCGCTGTCAGCCTGTTTTAATGTTCGGCGCACGTCTGTGTCATTTGGCTTAAACTTCAAGGATAATGCATGCAGAGCCAATGTGTGTTGATAATGTGATATGGATTTATTTGGAATCTGTCCTTATCAATGCTGGGAACAGTAATTTATATTACTCCTGACAGTGACGAGTCTCTGAAAACCACAAGTTTACACGGCATGTTTCATTTTCATCATGTCTAATGGAAGGAAAATGGCGGGTTTTAGCATTCACAGCAGTTTTAACCTGTTACTGATATATTCCTTTTGAATGGCGTGTTTAAATGCAGCATCACGTCCTGTGCAAAGATCAGGCACAGGAAGCCTACTATCTGAACTCAGTAACTTTCTTTGTATATATTTTGTATATATTTTGTTGTCAGAAATCAAATGTTTGTAATACTATTTATTATAGCTCCACATCTGCACGAAGTGAGCGCGCATGTTTATCCTATCGTTTACCACCTGCTGGGAATCACAGCAGCTTAGAGCAGCTGCAGCTCAGCCAAATCCTGAGGCAGACAGACGGGATGACTTTCTCAGTTCAAAGAGATGATCAAGTGATTTAATCACGATGGCTAAAAGAATGATCAAATGTGTGTGGGCATTACACTGAGACTTTTGGGCCAGCTAGGTTTCCTTATTTAGAGATGCAAGGTTCGGTTGTTGTGTGGAGTTCCCTCCAGCATGTGTGTGGGTGATTCTCTTCACAGCAGCTTCTAACCACATTCACTCTGCTAGATTGGACATTCTTGTTTTAGTACCTGTTTAAAAAAAAAAACTATAATTGGATCCTCTATCTCTTACCTTCATATCTCCTAATCTTCGATCTACATTTCCACCACAGACATCCTTAAACAAAGCCAAGAGTGGTTAGCTAGTGATAACTGCATCAACTATGTCGCTTACTGTCTCACACAACACATAAACAAAGGAGCACATGTGTGTGTGTTGTCGATTGTGCACAGAGAAGAGTATCTGTCTGACATGTAAGCCCTACACCTGCTTCCTGTCCAGGTGTACATGAGTGTAAAAAAACATGCTGAGCTCTCGAGGTGGTGCCACTTCATTTTTGTCACTACCCTCTCATTGGTAACAGCAGTGTGTATATGTGTGTGTGTGTGTTTTAATCACTGTGACTCAACAACAACAACAAAATCATTAAAGATGCTTCTAAGGTCCTGTCTTCAGTACAGTATTTCATTTTCCGCAGCCTCTCTATTACTCTACCCTCCCATCTCAGCCTTTATGTTGTTCTTCCCTTCCTTCCTTTACTCTTCAGTGTCACTCCTGACTTTTGACATGATTTATGGGCTGTCAAATGTTTTTGAAGGGGTACATTTTAGCTGACAAACAGGCTACTCGTCTGTTGTTTTCTCTTTCACTCAAACTGTAAATGAGCTATAAAGAGGTCTGAGTGCTGAGCAACATGCCGTTGGCTCCTCCTATTGTGGAAAAAAGGACTCAGTTGACATATTGCGCTGGTGAAGTATAGTGTAGTGAGGCAAGCAATCTGGTAGGTGGAGCCGAGGATCTGATGTTGTGCCTGTTCTGTGGGCTGAAACACATTTCATTTAGTGATCAAAGATCGATAACAGGTTTTTGTGTTGGCTTCAGGCGGCTACTGAAGTGTGTGTCAAGTCCTTGACCCTTGTGTTAGAGTTTGTTTCATATCTTCACACTCGTTTCTTCTCTACTATGCTAATCTGGACCCGCACAACCACACAACAGCACATCCCCATCAGCTAACCCCAACTCATACTTGGAGAATATTTCAGCGTAGAGCCAAATGAAAAAGGAGAACCAACTCATTTATAGGAGGCAGCATGTAAACTGTGCGCCAAAGAGATCCATGTGAAATGAGGCAGCACATCAAATTTAAGGGGAAGTTAACATTAAGCTACCAAGCTGCTGCCCCTCCAGCACAGAGCTGAGCAGCTCATACCTCAGCCAACTGCCCAGAGTTTGTAAAGTCTTTGCCCGAGTCCCAAATACAACACTGAAGTGATGGACATGAACAGCTTACAGGTGCTGTTACACAGTATCAGGTTGAGGAGATGGTGGACAAACTGACATTCAGTCTGCGCTTCAGAAATATGACCAAACAAATGAATTAAAAGTCAAAGTCGAGGGTAAAACCTGTTGGAAATCCAACAGTCTAGGGTCCTCATGATCCAAGTCCAGCAAAAGATTGAAGTTTAACACATTATGTCCGTGATTACTTCAAATCTACAAAGTCCAGATAAACGTGCTCAAGTTGTCTGTGATCCGTGAGAGCAGAGTTTGTATCCTTTCTCGTTCTCATAAGCAACCTCAGCATAAATGCTGTGAGTGATGGTTAATCCGGCTGTTTTTAATGATTCAGGTCCAGAACCGACTCTTCTGTTCTGTATTTAAGAGCAGAGTCCTCCGCGACCAGCACATTCTTAGCTCACTGTCTGCAGTCACGGTGAAACATTCTTACAGTGAGGTCAAGTTATCCAACGTAGAAATTATGACCTTGAGGAAAACTGAAACAGATGTAAAAGGTTAAGTGATTATTTTTAAACAAACTCCCACATTTACATGTAAAGAGAATCAACACCAATATTAACTATTAATAGATATCAGACCTGTGCAATAATACTGCATACTGTTGTATTGAGCCGCAGTGAATCACTGCAGAGGAAATTCTCTCACCAACGGAGCTTCCCCTCCTTTTAATATCGAACAACTAAGAGTTAACTTCTCAAATCAACCAACACAAGAGTTTGAACCTTTTTTCATGATGGCAGCATGTTTGAGAAAATAATATTTGATTGTCTATTTTATGCCATGTTCCGATTTTAAGTGTAGATCATATGTGAGGGGGCTCCAAATATTTGGGTTTCACTTTAGGAAGTGTTTGTGCTCTTTCTTTTCATACACGCTATGTTGAACACTAACCGATGCACATCCCATACTTTCCGAGGACCGAAGCATTGATTTTGTTGTTGGCAAAAGGACAGAGATCTACTTTATATTGGAGTTAATTTACTTTTGATTTAACTAAGACGCAGGGGAGTTCTTATAGACTCGAGCACATCAATACCGGCTTCTTCAGCGGTGATTTCAGGCTGTTTGGTGCTCTGTGATCACTGTTCTGCATGAGCTCGAAGTTATTTCAGGACAGAGTCTCTATGAGGAGGAGGGAACAGAGCGGTAGAGCTCACAAATTAACTTAAATAGCGACAGTAAAGTGACACTAAAAAGATCTTTTCAGGGGAGTTTGGATCTTAACGATAAATTCCAAGAGTTCCTGCTGCAGTAACAAGAGCAGCTGTGTCAGAGCTGTGCTGTGTTTGTGCTGATTTAAGTTAAAGTGCTGCCGTCTGGGGCGGATGAATTGCTTTTTTTTTCCCCCTGACAGCCAAATTACGGAATGACCGTCTTCTCTTGTTATCTGTAGATTTTAGGGTGAAAATGTTGGGCGAAATATGAATTTATCTCTCCCACCCATGTGTTAAATTTGAACAAATTGTCCACAGAGAACACATCCTGCGGCGATGGGCCGGAGGCGGTGCACAAAAACACCCAAACATACACACACACACACACAAACTAGATGTTGTTGATATTAACATTATTCTCTGAGCTGATGCTTCCTAAGCTCCTGCAGTGTAATCAGGTGCTAATAACAAGGCTGTGATGTTTACAAGCTGTTTCAAAGCGCTTTATGCCCGTGCGTGTGTGTGTGTGTATTTGCCTGTGTGTGTGTGTGTGATGTCTACTCTTCTCCTTGCTACAGCTCTTGGGGCTTTGGTAAGGGGGGCTCTAATAATGCAGACTGTCAGCTCTCTCACACACTCACACACACACACCAGATGCTCATTTGGTGTGTTTGTGATGTGGCTAATGGTAGCAGCGTAGTGGCAATCTGAGGCCATATGCTGAGCTTGATCACAACAGAGCTAAGCGGCCGAGCATTAATAAACTCTACCGACATGACAATTAGAAATCCTCGGCATTAACACGAAACAGTCACACGTGAAAACGCAGTTTTTCTACCCAGCTCACACCAGGAATCAACTGTCCGAGCGGAGAGTATTGTGAGCGCTCGCCCGGCGGAAGTGACGCTAATTGTTGAACATTGGTTATGAATATTGCTCTTCATTCAGTTCTTAAAGAAATAAACAACTGAGTATTTCGATTGTGAGTGAATGGCCCATGTATTATCTGTCCATTCAATTATTCCAGCCAATATTTTGTTTATTTGTTTTTCTGTATAACCAAAAAATAAAAAAATAGTGTTTGTTTTCGTATTTTCAGCTTCAAACAGAATATAAAATAGAGAAGGAAACAAAAACAAAATAATAAATCTTATTTACAATTATTGATTTTGAGAGTGTCTGTTTTGAGCATACGTGCATGGAGGCTACACTGGCCTTCCCATGATCCTCAGCGACAGTTACCATGGCGAAAGATGCAACAGAACGGTTTGAGCGCCAAAATCTTACGTTGTAGCAGAGCTCTGGTTGTAATGTTTTCTACAGTCATATCTTCCTCCTTCAGCGTGACCCTCCTGGCGGCTTTGAATTATATGTAGGATGGTCCATCTCCATGACAACAGGTTAGCCTTTCTCTACCCCTCTGGCCTGGAGTTTTTGGTCCACGTCGTTGGCTACTTTGTTGCGCAGTGCGCATGTGCGAACAGTTGAAAGGCACCGTGGGAAATGGGGACATCAATGACCCGAAAATGAAAAGTAGATTTATTATTTTGTTTTTGTTTCCTTCTCTATTTTATATTCTGTTTTGAACTGAAAATACAAAAACAAACACTCATCTTTTATTTTTTGGTTATATAGAAAAACAAATGAACAAAATATTGACTCGTTTTTTCATTTTTCGTTTACTAGATTGAATGGAATAATTGAGTGGGCAGATCATACACAGACTGTGAATTATATACTTGCATGTTATTAGAAAATACTGATAGTGCAGTGACATTTTTCTTCTCCTCAGTCAGAAAAGTTTTATAAAAGATAAGATAAGCTAAGAGAAGAACTTTATCTCCGAGGGGAAATTCGAAAAAAGTCATTACCTTCTTAAAAGCTGTAAAAGGGTTTTAATTACCGCTTTCAGAACATTTAATGAATGAGGCCCAATATCAAACACGGTTCCTGTTATTACGACATGTGTCCCTGATTACAATATTTTTAATAAACGACCAGTCATTCTGAGGTGAGCTAGCTTGCACTTTATTTGACTGCAACAAAACAGTATGAACACATAAAACTTCCCATCAGGTAGACTGCTCACAAACTGAATGAGAAGGCATCAATCACGCAAATTAAAATATCATTCTTATTACAACAACTCCAGACTTTTCTAACGTGTGTGTTGTGAATGCTCGTATTAGAATAACAATGACATTATTGGATTTATTCTACAGCCGCAGCGCTCAGGAGTTTTACTCCGCAGCTAGCATCACTCTAACAGATTTTCATAAGAAGCAATCAGGGAGATATGAGAAACTCCTGATTATGAAGGTTTGATGAAGCCGAAAAAAGGAAAGGTAGGTTTCCTTCTCCACCAAACTGCAGAGGACCCAGAATTATGTTCGTTCCATCCCCAGAGCGAGCGTGCAGCAGAGAGAGGGAGAGAGTCTTTAATTGAGGTTTTATCCATTTAAGCTGTCACTAAGAGGCCAACTCTGAAACCTTTTAACCACTCTCCTCACAGTAATGACACAAATCAGAGAGGAAATGTGTTTGTGTTGGTGGAAACGCGTGTGTGCGAGGGTGCACGTGTACCCGCGCGTGTTAGTGCTCGTGAAGCAGGAGGGTAATTATGCGGAAATTGGGAAATGGCTAAGTGAATTATGACCTTGTTTCAGCAGAAGGCTTTAATCAGCCCCAGCCAGGCCACGTAGGGAGGCAGAAAATGTTCGCTTCACAAGCACTCTGCTCCTGATGGCCGCTGCAACCAGTCAGTAAAACTGTCAGCCAGTCTGATGTGTCAGTGCAAACCAGTCAGACCACCAATAATTCATACATTACTGCTTTTCCACTGTGTGTTGTATCTGCATGGAGGGTGTGGAGCGACGAGTGTGTGGGAGGGTAAAAATTCAAAATCATAAACAACGCTGACTTTTACTGCAATTTTGGGAAACAGAAAGATTGAGGGCAGCAGCCAGTCATTATTTTTGTTATCAATTCATTTCAGATTATTTTCCCAATTAATTGATTAATTGTTTGGTCACTTATTTGCTTGAAATGAGTGGAAATTGCCAATCACAACTCCCGGAGCACCATGGCGACCTCATCACACTGATTTAATTGCTTTTGTCCGACCCGACAGCTCTAAAACACAGAGTCGACAATCATAATGAAAAGGAAAAAAAAAAAAAGTTGAAAAATTCAGTTTTTAAAAAGCTGGAACCAGAGAATATTTGCTGAACAAATGACTTCAACAATGCCTCAGTGAAGGAAAATTCAGCTGATTAATTTTTAAAATTGCTTCATGTCTGGAGATCATCAAGTTTGAGTTTTTCATTAAGTCTGTAGTGAAGTGTAAAGCAAACAGTAACTTATGCTATAATATATCGGTTAATATCAAGATTTTGATTTTAATGTGCTCTGTGCAGCGACTGCCTTGCATGTCTGAATTTGTTCAACCACCTGATAGAAGATGAAGTTCAGGGGCTGTTTACTAGCTCGGGTCTGTTTGCTGCAGGAAGCTTCATGTCTGATGGCCAGAGTGCTCACAAATCATTGGGTTAATTATTAGCTAAGAGGAGTTACTTTTTGTCTCTATGGTCCCTGCTGGGGGATTTATGCTCGTGCATTTACATAAGTGCACACATTTACGTTAATGGCAAGAGCATAAATTGTCTCGCAACCCCACTTAGCCTGGTCGAAAGGCCGGTGTTGAGAAAGCTACTTTAAAAGCAGAGTTCTGCAAGCTACCAATTACTTCAAACCGGGGGGGAGTTAGACCTCATCAAAGCGACCTAAGAGCCAAACTAGGTTGGTTTACTAAGCTAGCTAGAGAAAAAATAGCCTCAGCTACTTTGTATGAAAATTGGCAATTAACATGTGATACAAAGATAAACGACTCTATCTCACTTTGTATTTACACGCCAGCAAAAATGCCAATTGATAAATCATAGTGAGCGAAGTGACGTCTAAAAATAGCGTGCAACTACCTCTTAGATGAACAGCAATAATCAATAGTTTCGACAGCTGCATTGCTTGAGTACGTCATCACAGCTGTTTAGAGGAAAGGAAAGACGGATCAAAAGACGCTCAGCGACTCCAGAGAAGAAAAGAGGAAATAAAACAGGGATTCCTTATCAGCCTAGAATCCTCTGTAGTTTTGAAAGTGAACCATACGTGGCAAAAAAAAGTTGAAACATGTTTTTATTAACAGAAAGCTTCTAATAAATTAAGTTCTAATGATGAAAAGCTTGTCAAGTTCAACTTATTTACAGCACGACTGACAAAAAAAAAAGAGGCGCAAGAATGAATGAACAGATGGGAACGTGAATCATCAGGTTCCTGTGTGACGTGTTATTCTCGTCTCACCTCAGCCCTACTGTCTGTAAAAACATAAACAGTTAATGTGTGTGTTGCCTGACTGTGTGTGGATGTAGAGCGTAAATGTTCTTTTTTAGTACATCTCCTGCTGTTCAGATGTGTGTACTATCAGCAGCACCATGGTGTCTCAGAATCCCTCTATGGGTTCTGGTCTAGTTGTCTATTTCTGTCAGTGTTGGATCGATGATGTCTTGCAGACACTGCACTCCTCTCCTGGATGTTTCAGCCTGTTCCCTCTCCTCTCTCTGTCTTTTTCCTTCTATCTGTTGCTTTTCCCTCCCTTTCCTCCCGTCTCTTCATCTCCTGTATTGGCTTGTCTTGTCTTGATCACTTCTTCTTCTACTTTTTATTGTCTTCCCCTGCATGACTGTACTACCATCCGGTGTCTGTCTTTGGATCAGACACTGAGCTCTGAGTTTGTGCGTGTGTGTTTGTGTACGTGGGGGCCCTGCTGCGGCTCATTTCTTGGCCAGCTTGTGTGATGTACCAAATTTCCAATTAAGAGACAGTTTTTGGTATATCAGAGATTTGGCCATCTTTGTACTTGTACAGTAAGGAGCCTGTGAGTGTGTGTGTAAGAGAGAGAGAGAGAGAGAGTGAATACAATTTGAATCAAACAATTCATTCATGGATAATGCCTTATCCCCAGGTTCTTGCTTCTTGGATGCGGAGACTTGATGCTTGTCCCGCTCTATGTATGGCTGTTGATTGTGTTCGAGTTTTTAACAAAAGAAGCTATTTTAATAGACTGCCTTGAGTTTTGCTGTATTTAAGTTTTTTTTTAAACTAAATATGATGTTTAATCGATTTTTTAAATTAAGTGTAATTTTTATTTGATTAAATATTGATCTCTTAGAGCTCCAGTGTGAGTAGAAAAAAGACGTCATTCTTGTTTCTTAGTAAACTGTATGCAGTTTGATTAAAAAAAAAAAACAAAAAAAAAAAAACTAGTTGATTTCTTAATAAGTCAATTATGACATGTTAAAAACGAATATTTTTCTGGGCTTTTTGCTTTTGTAAGCTGAGAAAGCTCCAGAGAGAGAGGAAATGCAAGGAGGAGAGAGAAGGGTAATGACAGGTGCTAAATCATGTCTCACTTAGAGTCAATCCTATTATCAGTGCATGACTGTACATGGGGCGCCCGCTTTACCACTGGAGCTTAACCAGAACTTAATATAAAAAAATGTTAAATCAATTTATAATTAAATCCTTTTCATGGCTAAAATGCTGAAACGGTCTTTTAAATGCTAGTATTAGCCATCACTTTGTTTTTAATTAGTCAGAAAATAGGCCAAATTTGAGTCATTGCTGTGCTCTGGTGAGTAATGATGGCACATACCAACTATTGAGACATTTACCAGCGATGGAAAAAAACACTACCTTTAAAAAAAAAACATCTCCAGGCAATATCAATTTAAAAGTCATAGAGAATAATTATCTGCTAGAGCGGGTATGTGAGGCTTAAAATTCTGCACACATGCACACCTCTGTCTCTCACTCGCTTCATTTGAGTCGTCTGACTTTCATTGCAGGAAATCCTGGACTTGAAAAATTTATGATGAATTTTTTTTTTTGAAGAACAACGGTGTTCAAACTTTGCAACACAGTTTTTTTAGAGTAGTCATTGTAAATTCACTTTATCAGTCATTTATAAATGAAAGAAATTGAAGTCTTATCAACAGAACTAAATCGAGGTGCTTCTTCACAGTTTTGCAATAATCCAATATTTCAATAAAACAGCCCCAGTAATTAATGTGCCAGGAAGTGTGTATCGACTCACATAATGCATTATCTATTCATTCGACATTATCTGTGTTTGTTGAGTGCAAGTGTGTATGTGTGCACGCTCATTAACGACCTCTGACATGCAATTTGGTGATAGTTTCTCATGTGCACACGCATTAGCATGTAGGACAGCTGCGTCTTTGTGTGTACTTGTGTGCACACTTTGCACCGAATCAATGGTTGTCAATGGAGGCAGATAGAGCAAGGATGGCTGAGAGCTGGAGAAGCTGGCTGGCCCCAACTGCTAAACACCCACGCTGTCTGTAGGCTCCGCTCTCTGCTCCTACGCTCCGAGGAACAGGAATGTGCTAGCTCTGCCGTAGTAAGAGCGCATATGAATGAGTATTTACTATCCCAGGCAGCTCCTCTTGTCGTGTTTTTAAGTCCAGCTTTGGTGCAGGAGGAGGATACTTACACTGTCTTTATTCCTCTTAAGTTACAGGGGGAAGGAATCTCATATATGAAGGTGTAGGGGGGAGGATATGAGGTTTGTGGGGTTTGTTGTAATGAATGTACTGCAGTTTAAAAGAATTCTGTGTCACTTCCCGGGAGAGAGAGAAATAAAGGTGGGGAAGGGGTGGGGGGGTGGGGGTGGAGGGAGCTGTGGGAGGAGATGTTGTGAAATAGGATGTGTTGTGTTGATGGAGCAGGAGTTCTTCTTCTTCCCAGCCAGGCAAACTCTCCTCCCATCCTAGCAAGGGCACAAATGTGTGTGTTTGAGTGTGTTTTTTTTTTTTTTTGTGGTGCAGAAAGGAGAGCAAAGAGGGAGGCATGTGAATGCCCCACAGCCTACAAGCATACCACCCACACACTTTACCCACATGCATTCGGCCCATACATATGCATACTCTTCACTCGCCACCTCCTCTACCTCTCTTCCCGTTTCTACCCCTAATGTTCTCCCCTCTTCTGTACATACACACCCACGCAATCTTTCGCTAACACACACACACACAGATGCATGCAGGGAAAACTCGTTTCACAGGGACAATCTCTGTCATTACCTCCCCCAGATTCCTCAAGGGAGAACATTGTTATTTTCTCCCAGCTATGATCAAATAAAGTGGAAAAAAACGCGCACACACACACACACACACACCCGTGTACACTTCTGTGTTTGCAAACCTGCGATTGGATGGAACCGAATGATGACACTAGTCCACCCACACCCCATGTGTGTTGTAAATTGTCGCTCACACCACAGGCTGAGTAATTTTTTCCCCCTGGAGGTGAATGGTAAATCCCAGCATATGTATTGCATCACGAGGTGCAATTTTCTACAGTATCAGCTCAGATAATCAAAGGCTGCTGAGATAGGAGCAGATAGGGAGAGGGAGGCCTGTTTAACTCTGTATCAGCCGTATCTGTTAGCCTTTGTTGCTGATGGAGGGGGAGAGAGAGAGAAAAAGGCAGAGCCGGCGCACAACAAGGAGAGCAGACAGAGGGAAAAAAAATCATTGATGGAGGGCGAAGGGGAAAGAGGGGAGGGCAGCGAAGAATAGAGGAAGGAGGGCCTTGCAGAACAGTACTGCCAAAACCGAGGTCAATTGTGATGAAAATGGCTGTTCACATGACCACAATAGCAGCTGAGTGACAGCACTAAAGCGGCATGGACGGGCTTATCCTGATCACTCAGGGCCTTGACTGGGGAAATCACAATGCCCCTGAGATCTGTCCTTTTTGGGCTTGGAGGATCACAGAGCGCCCACGGTCCCAAGCTCTGGCCCTGAAACGGCCCTGACATTAGCATATCAATACCACCCCGGCTACTTCGCCAAGGAGCTGGGCGGCTAGCGATAGTGCCCCCCAGTTAGCATCGCCCTGTGCCTTCACAAGGCTATTCAGCAGGGAGTCAATGCTAACTCAATGCTAAGTGTGAATGGGAAGAAGTGTAAGCTCACTCCTGTAGCGTGAACCCATGTCTGGCGGTTCATTCAGGCTGGTGTGTCTGTGAATATACGAGTCTCTCAGTGTCTCTCTCTCTGTCTCTGCTCGACTCTGCGTCTGTCTTATAATTTGTTCTCTAATATATGTTTCCTTTGGACTGCTTGTATATGTTTGATGCCGATCGAAGTGGATGAACACATCCAGAATATTAAAAGCCGCTGCTGAATGCTCGCTCGTAACTTGATCCCTGTGTCCATTCTGAATAATAATCCAGGCGATTTTGGACAGTTTTAATGCAAGCCAAGTTTCACTGCGACTATTAAATCAGTCTGTCTGGCACATTTCATTCGATATAGAAGAGAAATCTCCAGAGTAAAAATCCTTTTAATTCAATAAGGCGAAGGAATAAAGATGGAAAGCTGAACATCTACATGTCAAATTTACTGATAAAACTATCTTACAGTAAGAGTCAATCAACCGAGCAGAATGAACATCGGAACCTGGACTATAAGCTGTCAAGGAAGTCCGTTTGGAGGTTAATTCAGGTCCATCAGTTGCTTTCCTTAGCTTAAAACTTGATGGCCTGCACACACCACAGATAACTTTTTGACCTAATATGATTGAGATGGCGTTAAAATCTCGAAGCGGCATCATTAGCTTCAACAGCTAAGGTCTCAAGTAGAAAACGGCTAAAAGATGAGAGCTTGGCATCGTGCAAAAACAAAAGAGTATACAGTGAGAGAACAGGTTAAAACTCCTCGGTGTTGAGAGGATAATACATCACTTGACACTTGCAGTAGATGGCCTTTTATATCATTACAACGCAATTAGAGATATCACTCAGTAAGAGAACAAGCCACAATGCAGCGTTAACCTCATTATCACGCAGCGAGAAGGAAATGGATGATCTGGAGGAGAAGGCCTGGTTTTTAAAATGCTGCAGAGGGGACGGAGAGAGAGTGAGAGAGTGAGAGAGAGAGAGAAAGAGCAGAGGAAGAAAGGAGAAAATCGATGGCTAAAAGTAAAGAATGAGAAAGTAAAAGGGCAATGAAGAGAGGAAGATGAGGAAGACAGGTGAGATATTGGCTGTAAGACTTCTTGCTTTGTCATTGGAAATCAGAGCTGGAGGGCAGGACACCGTTTGATTTTGTTGCTCTTGTTTTAATCTGTCAGTCACACACACTTACACACACACACACACACACTTGTGGATAGCCTCCAGAGTGTCAGAGAGTATCGGCAGTGAGCTGAGAGGTTATCATGCGTCGTCTGGTGCCAGACCGACTCTTGGTAGCAGGTTTGTCATTTGTAATTAGAGTGTAATGGAGAGCTGGCTTGTTTTTTCTCACCTCCTCCTCCTCCTATTCTCCGTCTGAAGGCTGTCTCTGGGTATCGACAGACAAGTGACGGCGCACACACCCCACAAGCACACTCACAGATACATGCACTGACACATGTTTGATGGGCCAAGTTTGATTCCATTAAGTGGAGTTTGTCAGTTAGTCAGTGAGGTATTGGGTCTGAATGCTGATGGCCAAACAGAGCTGAACGGGATCTGAAGCAGACTGTTCAGACACTCACAACACAGAGGGTGACTGAGCAGTGGCAGGCCTAACTATGATTATTGTATGTCAGTCACACACACACACACACACATGCACACTATCTGGTGTTGTATGGCTATGTGGTCACGGTTCCATGCAGCTCTGAGTTCTTGTCACGGTTAAAAAGGCTTCCTTCGGAAAGAGGAGGAGGAGGGGGGAGAGCGGAGTCTTAAGATGGGGAGTACGAGGGGAGTAAGAGGAGCGGGAGATAATAGGAGAGGACTAACAGTGGGGGAGGAGGAGGGCTAGGATGGACCAAAGAGGGAGTGAAAAGGGGAAGATAGAGGCTGAAGGTGGGTTTTTCTCGAAGTATGAAAGCCTGCGTGCCTCCATTCCTGTGCCATTGATGTATTCTAATGCTAAGTGTGTAAGACTGGGCCTCGACTGGTCTCTGAGAGAGACGGCCCTTTGATAGACACGACCAAGCTCTGGGACCCGATCCCTCGCATGCCATTCATATGCATATTTTTCTCTGTGTGTGTGTATGTGTGCGCGCATGTACACACTTTTTTCTCTTGGCCATTTTAGTAACAGTTTTTAGCCATTTGTGCCACTGGTAGTTTGGTCTAATTTCCATATCAATGGGAGCATGTTTTTGGCTGTTTTGAGCATCGCACATGCTAATCCTAAATTACCCCCTAGGACCGAGCTGGTTGAGGTTTTTATGATGTGGCAGCAAATTATTCTGAGTGTGTGTGTGTGTGTGTGTTTGAATTTTCCAGGAGGGTGGCATTTGGACACAGTTGCTGCAGGACCAACACATGTATCAGAAATGTCAACTTTGAGCATGTTTATCAGTCGAGATGTGTCATGGCTGTTTTTGTCATTTAGCGCCCCAAAAAAAGATGATTTGTGGTCTTCACTGTGGTCAGAGAGCAAACAACAGTTACACAGCACTAGTGGAGAATGTGAAGATGGTTGGTGCTACACTTTTCAAAGCTGTGTCATGTTGAAAGTCAATGTTTGTGCAGCAGGTCTGAGGGGCTGTGAGCTGAGCTGCTGCTAATACAGCTCAGCTTATTTAAGGCTCCCATGAGAAACTTGAAGTCCTATTCTGATCGTTCTTTTTACTACTTCAAGTGTTATCGGTGGTCTTTAAATTTTGATGATGAAGTTTTAACCAAAATCACATTACCTGTGTCATTTTCAAGGGCTTTTCTTATGCAGAGCTCCAGTAGATCATTAACAGTTCGTTTCTGAGTAATGGACGGAGGCAGCGCTGCTCTGCACACTTGTCTTCACGTTAGCTTGCAGCCTAACATTGCCAGTGTAGTTTAAGTGGCAGGTAACATAGGAGCTATTCAGTTCTCAGACACTAATGTCTTTAGGGACACGATAAAAGCTAATATCATAATTAGCTTTCTTACGAGCATTGCTATCCACTAACGCACACGCTTGTTCCGCAGTGGTCCTCTGTGTTTGAACCTGCCAGAGATTCACAGTGATTTGGATGAAGAGATACTCAGAAAAGCAATTTTGCATTTAGTTTTTTTATTATGTGTCTTTAGCATCAGAAAAATGCCATATGAACATATAAAAAACAAGAAAAATGAGATTTTCATCAGAGTGGGTCTTTAAGGTTCATGTCCTCCATGCTTAAGTAGTGTCTTCTGACAAAAATCTCACACTGCTGACTTTTGCCCATCAAACTATTATTTATTATGAATATTTAATGTGAACGATGTGAACTCAGAGCTGTTTCTCCAGTAGTTTGATTGACGCCTATCCTCCCGCAGAGGTTTCAGGCATTAAAAATTACAATACATGAATCATCTGTTTTGTTTCTTATGTCCTTGTTTGCTTTTTATAACATTAAAAGGCATTCATATGAATCTCAGTTTAGTTTTCAGCCAGTATTTTTCAGTTTTTTATTTCAGTCAAAAAACTCCTCACTGGAGCTTTAAGGGTGTTTTAGGTAAGCACTCGTGGGTCATATGTTGTTCCTGAGGTTTTTAAAGTAGACCAGAGTGAACTATTGATGTCTCCAACTTGTCAACATGTACTCACCTGGTTAGATAAAAGCCAAAAAATCAGCTTCAAGTTAATGAATACCATCACTCGCACAGTCTTCAGTCAAAAACATCCTCTGCACTTAATTCTGGCCTTCTTGTGGATGTTCCTTTGAATTTTTGTTATCATTCCACCAAATCAAATAAAGGTCTGCAAAGGGGATACAAAAATGATAGCGTCCATATCAGGTTTTTGTACGCAGCTGTTACTTTTTAAGATTCTCTAGTCTCGGTATCTTTGGGATTAGTGCTTGACGTCAGTCAATTCCAGACTTGATTGGAAACAGAAAAGCAGAGGAAAAAAGTGTACCCAGTCTTTGCTGTAGAACTTTTTGTGTGTGGCCACATCTGATCATGTCATCAGCCATCTGCAGTGGAGGCCAAAGTTCACAGCCCCAAAGAGGACGGCGTCTCACAGTCCCTGCACTATACTGCTGCATGTGAGTCCTACCAGCTTTAAAAGCATGTGTGAGGAGATGGAGCGTCGTTGTGTGCGTTGCTTTGTTTGCCATGTGTTCCGGTCCCCAACCGATTAAAGCATGAAATTCCACACACATTGTAAAGCAAAAGGGTATCTCACATATGGAGGGAGACACACAAATGAGGGCACACACACACAATAACGCACTTAAAGCGAGGAGTCAGAGAGGCCTGTTAATGACTGTCGGGGGCAAGAAAGAGGAGCTGGGACTGTGGAGGTGTCAAGGCCTTTGTGACGGATGCAGGTTGTAAAATGCCTTGCTCACAGGTTTATTGTTGGGGAATAAAGTAACGATCAGATGCAACAAGATTGATGCCATTCCACTTTCTTTCGCTCTCACACACACAAATGCACACACCCACACACACGCAGACTTGCTCCTGATCCCCCTCTGAGCCCTGAAGAGTCTCCCCCATCAGTGACCCTCCCTCCACACCAGCACTGTGGATCCTTTCCCCTCCCTCCCTCCTCCTACTTGGATTTGCTCCTTAACTCTGACCTCCTCTTCAGCTTGTTCGTCTTACTTCACCTCCTCTCACCCGCACACTTCATGGACTTCTGTGTGTTTATTCCTGAATGAGTGTGTGTGTGTGTGTTTTTTTTTTCCAGAGGGGGGGTTGGTGTCTCATTTTTTATACCTTCATCACCTCTGTTTCTGCTCAGAAACATGATGGATGTCTTAAAACAGAGCTAAGCCAGAATATTACTGATGTTACTTTCACCCTTGACTCTGTGTGTGTTGTGTGTGTGTGTGTGTGTGTGTGTGTGTGTGCTCAGAGGCACAGGAGGTTATTTGATCTCATTGTGTTGTTGGAGAGGAGGCTGCTCTCTTGCTTTATGACCGGCGCTGTAGGGAGATATTCAGCTCCACCTGCCTCTCCTCGACGATCCATCATGCCTCTCTCAGCAGACAAATGCTCCTCCACTCATCTTATTACTTCCTCTCACACTCTCAGAAACATTTAAGACTTTCTCTAGCTTGCACTTGAACACACCGTAATGTATGCACCTGTACTCAGACTCTATTCCTGCCACAATTTGTCTCATAAACCAAGCAAAGCTGTCTACACGCTCGTCTTTAAAGCTGTATAAATGAGTGACGAAGCATATGCCTGCGTGTGTGTGTCATAACTCTTACTGTGTTTCTGTAAACTGAAAGCGAACGCGGCACCTTCGTTAAGACGTTAAATGTGTGGTTAACTGAATAGGGACGAAGACTCAGTTAATGACTGTTTCTGCACACTTCATCAGATTGCTCGGCCGCAATATTGCCTCATATCACTCGCCGGCACCATTGGCGCTTAATAGTGTGTGTACGTTTGATAGTGTTTGCGCGCATGTGTGCGTCAGATCACAATGTATATTGCTTTTGTAGAGCCATTACAGTTTAATAGGCGTGGTGGAATGCACGGAGCGTTAATGCTTCGGCAACATGAAGTAATGACACAATAAAACAATTAAATATGGTGGAGGGGAATTGCTTTTTTTTTTTTTTTTCTCGAGCCACACCTAGAAGCAATTTGGAGTGAGACGGGATAAACAGAAAGTACAGATCAGGCTTATTATGAGGAGAAAGGGAGCTCTCTTTCTCTCTCTCTCTTTCTCTCTCTCTCTCTCTCTCTTAATTGGCTTCTAAATCTCTGTCAGTACGGCTGTAAATCTGCTGATTCACAGACTGAAGAACCAGAGAAAATCTTCTCCGGTTTAGAGCGAGTTGATTTCTGAGTGATTATCCTTGTGTTTACGTGAGCCCTCCTGTAAAAGCAGGTAGTGTGTTGTTCCAGTGCATATCCCATGTCCTCTCAGACTGATTTAGAGGCTCTCCCTGTTATCGACCGGTCTGTAGATTAATTGGCGATTCTATGAGGTGTTCGAAAAATGTGAAAAATGGCAATCATGATTTCTGCGAGTCCAGGGCGATGTCTCCAGATTGATGTTTTTAATGAAAAGTCCAGCACACAAAGGGATTCAATTTAAACCGTGTGAAGAAGCAAACAGGAATCCTCCTTTTGGAGAAGCTGAAGCAAAACTGTGGAGCCTTTTTGCTGGAAGTTTAAAAGTTGTAATGAAATTATTTCTTGTGAAATCATTGCTGTAGTTCATCAGTGTGGAATTCTTCAGAGGGGGGGCCTTGGCTGCTCTGAGTCCCTCCAGCTGTAAACTATTAGCTGGAAACTGAAAATTGTGTCTCTAGTTAAACATGATGATATGTCCAGTCCATTCTGGGATTACATAAACCCCCTCCCCCCGAAGACACAAATGCATGACGGTTAAATGTTTTTTATTTTAATTTCAGTTGCTCCTAGTTTGCTCTTTTTAAGACCGTTTGGATTAATATACTTGTTAACCTTTTTTTTAGGACTCAAGGAACTTTTTTGTCATCCCCTTTTATAGTTTGTGGTTCGAAATTAGTACCCAGGTCTGTTTCCAAGACAAAATACAATAGAATACAAGAGCAATCATTAAAATGTAAGAGCAATAAAAAAAGCAAACACAAGAACAAAATGTAAACAAATGAAGTAAAGGCTGAAATTAGTCCTGTTGCACTCAATTTTCATGTTTTTATTTTTTAATTTTTACAATAAAGTAAATAAACTTTTGTCTACTCTGAAGCAGTGGCAGCTACCAGCCACTAGCCAGGACTGTAGCTCCCACTATTGGTCAACGCCGTAATGATGTCAAAAGAGCACCAATGGTATCTCAAAGCGGGCATGTCACGCTCTGCACGGCTGAAAATTCCTCTGAGGTGTAAAAACGCAAGAGGACCACATCTCATCAGATGGTTTAATCTGCCCACCCTGGCTTTATAAACAAGTTCAAACATTCCCCTGCCAGCCCCACACTGAAAAGCAGAGCTGACGTATTAGCAGGCAATAGCATGACATTTACGCCATGATGAGAGGGCCGAGTGATGCAGTTGTTTACATCGAGAGGATTTGACCGCTATAAGCTAACTAACTACTGTCCGCTTCTATATTGTTCTTATTTCTCTACTGTTGGGTTTGTATCATGGAAATGTGCTTTCACAGTATGATGGTTTTAACCTGAAAACAGTTACCGTAACAGAGGACTCTTTACATACTGCTCATTTACCTCCAGATGAAAACTTCCAGATGTGAGCACATCTGTCCGTGAAAGACTCCCATTGTGGTTGGAAAGTACCGTTGCCAGATACTTTTGAGTTATCTCTTAAATGTCAAGCGTCCATGTGTAAAATGAGCTGTAAGGAAAGAAGAGAAAAGTCTGAAAGTAAAGCTGTTTGTAGTGACTATGCTGACCTGGATTTTAGTCACCGTCTGAGTGAGGTGTTTTTGGTGCACTTCTAGTACAATCCGATGTCCAATCCAAGGTTGTTGTCGAGTTATATTCTGCCATTTATTGATTGAATGAAAAACGAACAAAAAAAGAGACAGATACGTCCAATTTACGATCATGGTGATGTTCGTGATGAGGATGAGAGTGGTTTCAGAGATTAGCGGTAAAAACAGCGTGCTGTTCCCATTCTCCAGATCACTGCTTCACCTGTGTCCCTTTGTAGCATTTACCTGCCCATTCACCCAACCGAAGCCCGAAAATAATATCCATAAAATGACTCACACACTGTTTAATCAGATAAAAGATGAAAACATTGTTGATTTTACTGTGAGTGTTATATTTATTCTGTACTATGGTATGGAAAAAATATGTTTTTTCATATAAAAGGACTTACTGTGTTTCATGTCTAGTTGGTAATGAGAAAAAGTTGCTCAGATTTAAAAGTGAAAAGTAACTTTTAGTCACTTTGATAAGTTGTGTGTGTGTGTGTGTGTGTGTGTGTGTGTGTGTGTGTGTGTGTGTGTGTGTGTGTGTGTGTGTGTGTGTGTGTGTGTGTGTGTGTGTGTGTGTGTGTGTGTGTGTGCATGGAGCGAGTCTTTAAAAAGGTGAGGCACCAGCTATGAAAAAGGTTAAAAAAAAAGGGTCCACTTCTCTCGCATTCAGTAATGACTTGCTTTTGTATTTCTTGACATTTAAAAAAATGTTGCAGGGCACTAATGAGAAGCATCATTTCCAAAGTTTGTCTGAAACACATCAAACGGTCTGGAGTCAATTTAAAGCAGAATAATGCCTCAAACAAGCATCGAGATTTGTTCCCAGAGTGTCGTTAAAATCTGGTCAGCAGCTAACAAAGAAAGAGATCATTTCGGGTCAGGCAGGCAGCCATGTTCAGTGTGGGCGACCACCATATGTGTGTATCTGTGTTTAAATGCTGGTTTGTTTATGTGTTCGTAGGTGTAGGAGTCAGTGTGACTGTAAATTCTCTGACTCATCGAGGAAACTGAGAAACCACTGGGAAATTCTGGGGCGATTTGTTACTTTTCATGTAGGTGTTTGTCTGCGAGTCTCCTCTTTCCTCTTCTCCATCTTCCTCTTTTTCCTCCTCTCTCGCTCTCGCTCTTTCTTTGTTTTCCCTCTCACATTTATGTCTTTATGTAATTGTCTATAGAGACCTGTTGAGAATTAGAGATCGAAAACCCATTTACAGAGGTTACTTACGTAAAGTCAGCCTATTTGTCTGCTGCGAAATCGAAACCTTACCCTCTGCTGCTCTCCCTCTTTCTCTCACTCCAGCTTCTCCTTTCTCAGACTGTCTCTCCCTTAACCTTGCTCTCCTGGGGGTCAAAACTCAACAATGGAGGAGCGATAAGAGGAGAGATACGGTGATTGGGGGAGAAATGAGGGAATTTGTTAAAGATAGAGGGATGGACTGAGAGGTTGTTAGCGAGGGATAAAGAAGAGGCACAGTTTTGGGGTGATGCCACATTTGATGAAGGAGGGAGAGCAGGGCCTCTTCAAAATAAAGGTGTGACCTTAGAATTTCTTTTTTGGGCTGTTTTCAAAAAAGGAGGATAAATTACCTGTGTCCAAACTTACTCCCCCAAAGGTTGCGGCATGCTCTGAAGCACCCAGTGTATTGTACTGTATTATGTCATATCATATTGTGTTGTATTGCACTGCTCTGTATCATTCTTTATTATGTTGTTCTGTATTAAAGGGATATTCCTGCGTAAAATTAAGTTAGGGTCAAACACACCGTAACACCGAGTTTGAAACCCCAGCGAGTAGGAAGATGTTTCGTAGCTAGCACTATGTACTGTTGGTGAAGTTAGATGCTGTTCTGAGCATTATTTGTGGTATTATGGTTGAGCACGTGGCTCCTCAGACTGCTGTGTATTGCTATCGTGCTGTCATTACTAAAGTTGGTATAACTAGAGAAGCAAGCGGTCGGCAACATTCATCTCTTGACGGGGTGTCTAACTTGGTGTTATGGTGTGTTTGACCCTAAATTAATTTTACACTGTAATATCCCTTTAATTTTACTTAGGGCAGCCCTTCTTTTACTTTATAGACCTGATTATGATTTTGTTGCAACATTTTTGCTTGTAAACACAGAGTGCATGAGTCTAGCTGAAGCTAGCACTCAAAGCCATGTTTACATGTGCGAAATTTCTTGATCTGATTAAAAATTTGAGGGTTCTGATAATTTGAATCTACTGTTTACATGGACACATAATCAAATAATTTGATCATGACACGCATATACATGCAACAATTTTTATTCAGATTAGAAGCATTTGGACATGCTCAGAGTTGTCTAATTTCATTTAAAAAATTGCAGAAGAAGAGTTGGATTTATGCTTGTGCTGTTAACAAACCAACAAAGGTGGTAGTGGCTCACTTCACCGAATTCAGGATTTTTCCCTCCACTCAGAACGAGCCTGATCTGGGTTCTGAAAGCGGTCGTAATGCTCCCAGCACATACGATCATCAAGCGAGTCGGGCAGCACATACTGATCCGATGTTACATTAAGCGACCAACAAGTGTCTGTGTCAGACATGGACCAATTGCTCTTAGATCCCACCATGTTTATGTCTTGTCACTAATGGCGGAAATGTGTCATGTTGACAGATGCGCAGTCAGGTTAGTTCTGCCCCTACAGAGAGTCACGATCTGAATGAGTGTTTATATGGATACAGTTCGGAATAACTACTCCTCTCAATAAGAATAGATTTCTTGCCTATTAGATGAGAATCTTCGGATCGACGTGTTTTCACATTTTTATCCTGAACGTGCCTTTATTTCAACTATTTGTGCCCATGTAAATGCAGCTACTGTAAACCTTAACATGGGACAGCAGCCTTGTATGTCCTCAGAAACCACGTATGTAAAGCCAAGTTTGTTGAATTGATCTGGACTGTTTTCCATAACAGAGGAGAGGTGGAGTTTTGTGTCAAACTGAGAGAAGAAGTTTTTACCACTAAGTTTCAGAAGGAAAAGTGTTGAAGGAAGGCTGTTTGACACAAACACTGAGTTTTCAAATATGTCTGCGTTAGTGTGACTAAACTGAACACTAGAGAGTGAAACAGGAAAAGATGAGCTACAATGTGTTATTAAATGATGTGTGGCGGCTGAAAGAGGGGCTGGTTTAGGGTTTTATGGTGAGAAATAGCATGATGTGCGTGAGAAAAGAGAGGAGGGTGGGGGGTGATGGAAAACAGGATTAGATGGACAACGCCAAGGGGAAGTGGTTCGGGCCTGTAGCGAGGAGATCTGTGTGAGGGAGAAAAATGAAGTGCGGTGGTTAAACTGAGGCTGGGTGAAGCAGGACAGAAGAGGTGGTGCTGAGATGGGACGGGGGGACGGTGACAAAAAGTCAGAGTAGCTGTAACAGAGTCTTGACACAGAGTTTCGACCCGAGCTAATAGCCCGTCTATTAATATCTCCTGCTAATGACTGCCACTCTCTGTCACAGAATGGCAGCGAGCGTCAGCCTTGTTCATCAGTTTTTAACTTTTACTTCCTGAATAATGATCCTAATAAAGTCTTTAAATATAGAGGAGAACAGAGTGACCTGCTCTGTGATATTCATTTTCAAATGACATGGAGCTACAGCAGCCAGGGTGCAGTGAGAAGTCTGGGTGGACTCTGGAAGGCTGCTGTTTTTTGGTCCGAAGACTAGCTTAAAACATTAAAAAGGATAGTATAAGAAGTTAAAAAACAACAGTGAGCTAAAAGTTTTATTTTTCTGAGATAAGAAGACAGATACCAGGCAAGCTTTATAATGACTGAATATGACGCTGTAGCTGTGAGATGGTCTGCTTAGCTTAGCAAAATCCTTCATCAGCAAACTAATGGCAATACTGGAGTCTCTGCAGGCAAGTGACAACATCAGAAATCTCCCACCCAGACTCCCTCTGTTCACCGCATTGTGTCCAATCAAGATGAACAATATTGAATTCTTGCTGATATTTTATACGGCAGTGTTTTTAAACTCATTTTGGCCGAAATCTATCCAAGTGCATCATGGTGGTAGCCTGAATCTTCCACTGTGCTAAAAGGATGGTTGTCAGGAACAGTGAGCTCAATGACTTTCTTGTTAAGCATCTTTCCTTTTGAGTGCTCCCTGCTTTTTTTTTTTTTCTTTTTTTTTAGCTTTGTTAAATTACCAAGGTAGAGGCTGCTGACAAGTTTTTGCTGGCACCAACGCTTTTCCGTTCTTACTTTTCACAAACTCTCGGTGCTTCAGAGTGATGGTTCTTTAGAGGTACACTTTAATTGGTTGTGTTTAAGGGGTGTTTTTTTATTCCTGCTCGCATCACCTGTGCTTTACTAGGATTGAAAAGGGTTATTTTGCTGTCTGTCTCTGACACTTGAAGAAACTGCTATGTAGCTGACATGTTGTTTGTCTTTGTAAGCTGTCATTGCATGCATGTATTTAATCCATCACCTTATTGGCTGTACATACTGATAGAAAATTCAAACGTTTTTCTTTTACCAGATGATATTCTTGCTCCTCATATCCCCATCCTAGTTCTTGACTCGGACCTGAAGACAGGAGAATGGGTTAGCATTAAGAACATAGACTGTATGTAGAATGGACAGCGTCTGCATCCTTGTTGGGTGAGACCACCCTGAGAACAGCACCCTCTGGTGACGGGCTGCAGTATAGTTCCTCCAGCAATCTCTATGGAGTAATGGACAAACTTTAGAAGTTAATTACACAGAATATAAATCCACCCCCTCCCCCGGTTGCAATGTTTACATGTAGTTACAGTAAGACTGGTTTGTGCTCAAGTCCTCTTTTTCCTGTACAGCTCCGTTTTTAAAAGTTATTAGGGGGTTCATGTTTTCTGCGATTGACACTTGATACAGTCTATGGGTGTACAAGGGATGATAGGGGAAAGTACCTTCACCTCTGATTGGCTAGAAAAGCTGGAAACGTCATCACATGCGTTCAAGCCAAACGCGGGCTGTCGGCTCTGTACATCGACCAGAACATTACAGAACATTATCGCACTTCTGGGACTCTCCTACAGATTGCATACAATGCTACTGCCCAATGTTGGTTTCAGGAAGTAGAGCAAAATGCTACTGCGCAATGTTGGTTTCAGGAAGTATACCAAGAGCTTTTCGGCTACAAATCCGTATACTGCTGAAAGGCAGAACCAAGTTGTCCATAATGTATACATTCTATGGTTGAGAAACAACATCAGAGGGTATAACTCTCTGCAGGTAATACATTTATATTGTTATTATTCATGTGGGTGTTCTATTCCCACTATAAATGAAAACCACAACACTTTGAAAAAAACTAAATTCAATTCTGCACTCACAGTTTCTGCAATTAATGCTGAGTGTGAAGAAAGATATTAATCTTAGCATAGAGATTAAAAAGATCATAAAAGAGCTAACTTGTGTGCAACATCTGATTAGATGCTAATCAGTTGTAATAAGCTGTAGCCTCTTTTGGACCATGCAAAACCACCTTTCTTTTACATTTGCAGGGTGTATTATTTGTGCTTAGTTAAGAAATGTGTGTCGTTTCGGCTTCAATAGAAGTACAAAAAGTTGTGTCAAAAGATGTGAAGCATCAGGTTCAAATTGGACGATATTATTCAATTTAGAAAACGATGTTCCCGTTTCCAGATGATGTTTACTGTGGAGGAAAAGATCGTCAAATTTAGCTCTCATTCCAGACGAGTCTGTGTGTTATTAGGTCTGTTTGTAAGAAAAAAAAAGAGTTGTTTTGATTTTTTACTATCCTAATTTTGGTCATAAGACAGCCTCACAGTCTCCCCTCACTCTGGTTTTATGTTTTCTTCCAATGTGTTTTTCTCACATCCTACATATTTTATCCCCTCACATTTAATCCCATTTTAATATGCATGGTTAAAGACATTTTTAAGTACTTCTTCCAACATCTCTCTGGCTCATTAATTCCCAGTCAATTACAAACAGCACAGAAAAGCCCAAGAGACATCTAATTCAGTGAAGGCAATCAGTCGGTGTGAATGAGGAGCCAATAATTGTTTTTTTTTTTTAAGTGTTGCATCAGCACGCTGGCTTCAAACTACGCAGATTTGCAAACAAGAAATTCAATTTAGCTTTTCATAAAAATGTAGATGTTTTGTGAGTGAAACACAACGCTGCAAAATCACTGTGGACCAGATATAAGTTTGCATTTCATTATTTGTCCGACTCCCACCCGTTGCTCTCTCGAAAGAGTGGTAGAACTCAATTGATTTTAGTGTCAAAGGCTGGAGGAAGGAAAACAAAGAGGGCAAAGATGCTTAAATTGAGAATCAGGCAAAAATAATCTCCTCTTTGTCTCTATAGACGTGGTAGAATCTGCTTTCTGTGAATCCCTGATGCATATGAGACAAATCTAAAGACAGTACATCAATTAGATGGGCATCGTACAGCTTTAAACAGGCGCCTCTCTATTGTAATATTTATTCAGTGTTTTTACATCAGGATATCAAAGCGTTGCCATTGAAAGAAAGAGAGAATATGTTCCACTGCATTCATTTATTCATTTGGCAGACACTTTTGTCCAAAGCCACTTTGATTTTCCCCCCACAAAAAAAATCACCCGTTCCACACAAATGAAAAACAATCCGGGGTTTGGCTTGTCGCTCAAAACCAGCCTGAAACCCGCAATCAACTGTTGCTATCACCTGACTGACTACCAGCTCTGTTACAAAAGGACTGGAAAGCAAGCAAAAGCACTGTGAAACAATGGGAAAGTTCTGATTTTCCACAGGGATTTCACTTTGATTTTAGCCAAGCGCTTTGTTACCAACAGATGCATGTTGTTGCACAGTTCAGCAGTATGAAAGTGGATGAAGGACTCAAGCATTTCTTACTGATAAGATAATTGTTAAACAATGTAAACCTTATTTCAGTTTCTACCTAAACTCCTTTGCGTACCTCTTATTTTCCATTTTTTCTACTTTTGATTTCATTCTTCCTTTTCTTTCCAGTTTTTCTGACTTACAAGGCCAGGGAGGGATGTGAAGCTAAAAAGCAAGGACACATGAGTCAGTACAATATACACTTGTTATGTGTTTGCCAGATGTGAATGTATGTGACATGAGTTACAGTCACGCCGTTGAGCAAGATTTCATCAGGCTTTATTGGAGAGCTTCACCCTGTAAGACTCGGCTGAAGTCCCCTTGAAAATCAAGGGTCTCGATGAATTTCAAGGGTTCAAGCTGGATGTTGAAGAGAGTGGCAGATGAAAAAACAAACCGTTCCCCTATTGATCCCACTTGGTGTCCAGACTGTCTCCCTCATATCTTCAGCTGGCTCTCCTTCAAACACCTTTCCATCACTTTGACGCACACAGCAACACACACGAGAACAAAGTACACAAAAGACACAACATACTGTCTCTCTAGCTGCCCCACTTTGCTCCATGCATCGTGGTTATGTAAGCGGACAAGAGTGTTTTACTGCCAGCACACTCGAAAGCAAAACAGCATACATACAGTTCCATTGTCACGTCAGGGTTAAATGGTGCGTTTAGCCCTTGAAGGGAGCCAGTAGATGTATAACGATATCATATAGGCGCAGTTAGACCAGGAGGACATGATGACGTGACATCACCGCTCCCATAACGACTGCACTGAGAGGTAGGGAGTGGATTGAGGGAGCAAGGTAGTGAATACGAGGAGAGGAAAATAAACAAGGAGAGAAAGATGGAAGCGAGAGACAAGGGGGTAATAAAAAGAAAGCAGAGGCATGAAGGCTGACACTGCACATTTGTACTCAGTGGGAGGTCCAAAGTGTTGTCTGTTTCTTACACCTCGGAAGTTTCTTTGTCTCATTTAGTCTTTCATAACACAACAGGAACGTGTGCTTACAGTAAGAGTTTGTGTGTGTGTGTGCTGCTTCTGCATTCCCCAACAAATAGTAAATGCATCAGAGTCTCCAGGGTTGAGATTGTCTTGACATTTTGTGAGCTCTAACACCTAGACAAGAGTCTACTGACTCCTCCTGGCCTGACTTGCGTGATACAATTGTTGCATCACTGGTGCAAAAAATCTGTAGTTTGGTCTGAAATTAATATTACTCTCTAGATAAGCTTCCCATCCAGTTTTGAACACCCGTCATGCCTTCATGACCCTTGACTGGGGTGCTGGTGATATTATTTTGTATTCTTCAATTAATCAGAAATTGTGATGGATAATCTTATGACTTGCTGTATCATGGTTTGTCATTGTCATGGCCAGTGTACTGGCTATATTATGGCATCATATCGTTTCATATTGTACTCTATCAAATCATAATCTTTTGTATCATGTTATATCATGGCATATTACATCATATTAGGTATTCATATTTTTTTGTGTTGTATCTTATCATATCATGTAGTATGTAGTAGTGCACCATATCATATTGTGTTGTATCATAGTATAAGGTATTGTGTGGTATAGTATGGTGTCCTATCTAGTCATATAAGTCTTATTGTTTTGGATCTCACTGCATCATATAACATTGTTTTGTCTTGTATTGTATCTTATCTTGTATGTTATCGTATCTTAGTGTGTCATATTCTATGAGATCGAGTCCTATGGTATTATATTGTATTTAATGATACTGTGTATGGTATCATATAGTATTGTATTTTAGTATACAGAGTCCTATGGTGTTGTACTGTATCTTATGGTATCGATCATGTACTGTTGAAGTACTTAATCTTATCCGATGGTATTGTATCAGATCTAGCATATTGTTTTATATCATATCCTATCAACACTGTCAGGATTGATGCCATTGTAGGATTTGGGAACACGGTCAGTAGCAGTAAACTTGTCAATACCAGTTTAGATATTGATATTGGTCCGATATCAGCAAAAAATCAGATTAAAGTCAGATTATATCGGCCTGCATCTAAAATCTCCGATATCGGCACTCAGATACAGGAAGTCCATTCCAGACTCCGCTTTGGCACCATCTATCTATCAGCACCTGGATCCAGCATGCAGAGCCCACGTGATCACAACAACAGTGTGTACGTGTGTATTTTCATTAAAGTCCAAAAAAGACATTGCAGCTGAGTGCAAAACTTGTCATGCACAAGTTTGTGCTTATATCGGAACAATATCAGTATTAGCCAGTATTGAATGCTACAATATCAGTATCGTATCGTAGGTAAAAAGGTTGTATCGGGACATCCTGTACTAGTATCAGTTTCAATGTCAGTACATCAGTGTAAGTACTGGTATTGGTATGGGTATCTGTATCAGTATCTGTATCAGTTGTATTAGAATACCGTTATAGGTGTCAGTATTGCTATCTGTATTGATATCAGTGTATTCTCTGTATTGGTAGAAGTGCTGATATTGGTACAACATGTTAATGAAGAGCAATCTGGACCTTGTTACAGCCAGTGGATTTGTTATAATTGAGTATTGCCTCTCTCTCTCCAGCTCTCGCTCTCTCTCTCTCTCACACACAAACACACACCCCTCCCCTTAATTTTCCCCCTGACCTCCTTGGCCTTTTGCTCTGTTTCTTTCTCCTTCCTGACCACCCTCACTTCTTCCCTCCATCCTCGGCTCCTTTGTTTCACACATCACTCACTCCTTTTTTTTTCTTTTTTTTTCGCCTGATTCGCCACCAGCATCTCCTCCCTCCCCTGCAAACACAGAAAAATTAGCTTCAGGTCCGTCTTTTTGCAATCATCCCAACAGATACAAAAATGCACTATGCAACGCCTTCTCCACACATAGACACACAACAAAAACAAGGATTTTAATTTGTGTGTTTATGCAAAGCCAGCATTTGCTATTCAAACCAGCCGACCAGAGCCAATTACAACCAATCCAATTACCTTCTACATGCAACACTTGATATCAAGAAAAGGGCGAACAATGCTGTGATTCAAACAGGCACATACAGAGGAATGTGCGTGTGTGTAGTTGTGTGCAAGCTGACCTGCAGGTTATTCCCTGGTTGGCTCATCGTCATGTTTGATTGGCTGCCTGCCGGTTTCATCACATTGCACCAGAGACAGAAGCAGACCTTGTGGCCTCTCACCCACAGGTCTCTCATTCTCCCTTACTCTCTCTCTTTCTCTCTCTCCGTTTGTGTCTCAGGCCGACTGAGGCGAGCTCAGAGCTCAGAGCCCGGCGTTGGCCGACTTTGGTTTTGCCTGGCAGGCCTAGCTGTAGGGAAGCGCTTTGATTGAGGAGACAGAACAAAAGCTCACACTGCCATCTTTGAAGCAGCTGTCCTGTGCATGACAGTGTCACACCAACTCAGTTAACAAACACATACAGAAATGTGCCAGAAAAATCCCTGTGGATACACACACACACACATACTCACAAACACACACACACACACACACATGCGCACACAAACACACACATTCTTGTAAGCATGGAGATGAGTCAGCCCACAGGTGCAGCTATGATACTTGTAAATGTATATGTAACCTGTCTGCTGCTCTCACATATTAACAATCATATTTCCCTTTCTGTTTCCTCGCCAGAGTACACACATCACATCACACGCCCGCACACACACACACACACACACACACCATCTGCTTATTATCCTTTTGTTAATGTTATGGGCATGGCAGCTTTACCTTAATTTGCTCCAGTTTTAAAAGGTGTTTTGGAACAACAGCTTTCACGGCAATCTGCTTGTTTCTGTAATGACTGCAAACAGTTTGGAGGAAGGTGTGATATAGCTAAAAAATTAGAGGAACAGCTAACTTGTCTTTTTATGTTTAGATTGAGACCTGATTATTCTTGTGTTTAAATAACTGATTCCTTGTTAGGAAGAATTAGAGTAGGACAGTACAGCAAGACCCTTACAATATCCAAGAGACCTTTTCTCCCACTTTAGATATCCCTTATATGATTACTCAGGTATAAGATGAAGAGAAACTGCTTTTGCTTACATCTCCAGATACACAATTTAAGGGCCTGTCTCCACTTGCAGCATTTTTGCACTAGCTGTGCCCACTACCTCATTTCAGAATGCTTCCTGCTGTACAGTTGCAGGATTATGAAAGCAGACACTGAACTGAAATGGTTTTGCATAGAAAACAGGTGCTGCTGGTTTAAAGGAAACAGTTTATGGACACAAGTCCTACATGCAATTAACAATAAAGTGTGAATGCAGACTGAACACGACACGATACATTATTATCACGATACTTGTGCCACAATCCAATATTATTGCGATTTTTTATATTTTGTAAAACAGTGAGTATTGCAATACAATATATTGCAATTTATATATTTTTTTCAACTGTTTAGCTAATTAAGCATTTGGCTTACCTTTGTGTTTGTCTTATTTACGCAGTGTTTTATTTTCATGTAGCACATCTTGCTAACCTTATATATATATTTGTTGTACTAATTTCCTCCTGCTCTTTGATGTCACCTCTGCTAACCTCACTGGACAAACAGTTGATTTTGTTTTTCCATTATCATAGATTTGACTTCATATCAGCAATTAATTTTAAAAAAATTGACACTTGGTAAATGAAAGGATACAATAAATCGCCAGACAAAATATCGCAATACTATGCTGTATCGGTTTTTTTCTCCTACCCCTATTGGCAAATTGCTAAAAAGATGAAATGACACCCTCTACAAAGGGCTAACTTATTACCAAAAACAAACAAACAGTTCCAATTGGCATTGAACTGGTATTAACAGCTCACTTAGGGCTCGAGTTATCATGAGAGTTAACATATTCACAGTAGAGTCAACACATTAACCTTCTTCCGCGATATTCCCATACCATGTTGTGGCTCGTGTTCGCTTCACGTCTGATTTTTTCATCCCTGTCTCTTTCACTCAGCCCCTTGTGTTGACATCCTTCACCAGTTCCTGCACTGTTTTGCTTCTTCTTGTCTTCATGTCTCTGCCGCTGACTCGTCAGCCATTAACCACCAATCTAAAGTTTGGTGCTGTCCAAACAGATTGAAAGAAATATCAAAAACTTCCTCCATGTTGTTCACTGGGGACACAGAAAGTAACGAAATACTGGATGTGTCATAACTTTTTTTATGTTTATGCAACTCCGAAAACGCCGTTACTCATGTATTGTTACACCTTAAAAAACATATCCAGATAAAGTTATGTGGCAACCAAACATTGGAGTCATTTTACTGTTCCTTGGCACAAGACAAGGAAAAAAGTGAAATTTCTCTCTTTCAGTAAGTTGTTTGGCAGACTGGAAAAAGACAAGGAAAAGGATGGGATAAACATGTTGAAGTAGAAAATGAGAGGAGGAGATTGGCAGTGAGTAGAAAAGATGGAGGTGCTGTAGGTGAGGGAGAAAGAGGGATACGACTGACAGCACACGGTAAGCTAAATTCAGGTGTGATGAAGCATTTAAAGCGAGCTAACAGCGCCTCTGTAAGACAAACTCAGTTCAGAGTTCAGACAGATGAGCGTGTGCAGGCAGGCTGCTGCTGCTGCTGCTTTGGCCTGGTGGAGATGATAAACATAAACGCAAACTAATGGACGGGCAAGTCGGCGGCTGCGGCCTCTGACGCCTCTTTATCTTCTCTCTGAACTCCTAACGCCAGATTACTCACAACCTCCACGGCCTCGCACAGGAAGGTGCGCTAAGCAAATCACCGACTGCACAGGCCGACAATAAAGCTCGGGTTTGAATTTCAATCAGCTGCTGACCGGGAGGGGGGATGGGAAGATGGACGCAGGAAGGCAGAAGGGAGAACTGATGAGAGGAGGCGAGATAGAAGGATGGAGGGAAGGACGGGAGAGATGAAGGGGTCAGGCCGGTGAGATTAGGGCGGGAGGGGAATGAGAAATGGACTATGAAAAGGAAAACAGATGGAGATATTTTACATAGAGGCAGATAGATGGATGACAGGAGAGTGCAACGAGGGGGACAGGGCGGAGAGATAATTACAAAGATAGAGAGAGGGGTAAACGACAGGAGGAAAGAAGAGAAGGGATTACAACTTTACACCAGGGCGGATAGATTAAGGGAGGACAGAGAGGTGCAGGAGACAAGGGAAACAGGTGATGTCAAACAGAGATGGAAAAGACGGAAAAGAAAGTGTGTTTGAAGGAGAGCGAGGACAGCCGGGGAGAAAGTCCTTGCCAGGGGGGACGAAGACGTCAGAAAGCAAACACTGTTGATTTATTTCTCTCTTGTGTTTTTTCTAATGCCAGCTGTGCCTGTTTGTGTTCTCTACTCACACGGCAAAAACACACACACACACACACACAACAATGGCCTCCCAAGACGAAACAGCCTCCTCTTATATTCCTAAAATTGGAGAAATCAAAGTGTCTTAAACAAGGGGAGAGTGTGTGTCAGTCAAGGAGTTCTGCAGCAGCAGGAGAGTAGGAGGCTCAACTTCTTTCAAAAGAATTTTTAAAATCTTAAACCAGTCCCCGAGTATTTCTGCATTCTCTGCTTGGCAGCACCCAGTTCACTGAGGGATACAGTAGGTGTAGCCACAAGAAGAAGAAGGAGGAGGAGGATGCTGATTAGCTACGAGGAATGAAGTTATGTTGTGTATGGCAAAGATGTGTAATCAAGCGTTGTCCTGTTGTTTCTCGGCTGTCTGTGTCGGGTGGTCCAGTGGTGAAAAACGTTGCTCTGTTTTCTTCCTCATCGGGCCGTAAATGCTCACGCTGACAGAGGTTATCCTGAGACTCAGGACCAGCTTTGGTCTACTTTGGAAACTGCACCACAGTTTCCAAAGTAGACCAAAGTGCTTGTCAGAATGACGAAGCATTCTGACTACCCTGGCTATTTCTCCATAGCAACAGCCGTTGACTCATCGGAAAAAGTACATTTTGCAGCATTTTACCGTCCCGGGTTGACAAAAAAAAGGACAATTTCTCATAAAAGAAGTTGAAATATGTGAAACCTTTGACCACAGGAACATAAATCTATACTTTTATTGAATCAGGGTTTGACCATGAAGAAAAATACTTTCTGTCCTTCAACATACAAAGGTGAATTAATACAGCTGCAGTCAGAACTTGGCAACAATGATTGAATTCCCCAAACTTTTCTTTCTATTGTAAAGGTTGTGATAAATTGGATGGTGGAAACACATTCTTGTTGCTTCTCAGACACCGAAAAGGCTTTTAGGCTGCGACGCAAATGAATGAGAGAGCAGCGCCAATGAGCAGACAGATGTGGACTTCACCTGCACTGATAAGTTTTAGAGGAAGTGGGTGGAGGGGGCGAGGGAAGAAGAAGGACTGGAGGAGATCAGATAAAGATGAGGCCCGTCTTGTAGCCGTCCTGTTTGCATGTGCGCCCGTCTCTGTCTGCATGGGTGATAGAATATGAAGCTGACTTCGTGTCTGACACATACTGACACGTACTGGAGATAGGAAGAGATTAGCGAGATGTGAGAGAGGAAGAGGAGGGAGGGAGGGAGAGAGAGGGAGAGGAGGGGATGGAGACGCAGAGATGAAAGATGACAAATATAAATTTAGATACAACGGTGCAAACCCTGTGGTGCTCTGTGTTTAAAGTTGTCATTACTCTTCAATTTTGGGGAATTACTACCCGTCCTCATCTTCATCCCTCACCTTCACTTCCTCATCCCTTCTTTCTTTTTTCTACTGCTCTGTTAACGGTTTCTCTCACTCTTTCTGCTGCTCTCTGTGGTGAAATCCTGCTGGCCATGAGTTGGGCCTTTTTTTGATTTAGTGTCAGTGTGACTTTGTCGCTCTCTCTCCCTTCTTTCTCTCTCTCTCTCTTTCTCTCTCTCTCTCTTTCTCTCGTTTTCTCTCGGAGTCTCATATTAAATTTTAATTCCCTGCAGTGGAGGGCCACAGAGCCTGATAGTGACAGAGCCTGACACAGGTGTGTTCAAGAAAATCTAGACAGAGTGACAGCTTTAAGGGTGACACGTGTGTGTGTGTGTGTGTGTGTGTGTGTGTGTGTGTGTGTGTGTGTGTGTGTGTGTGTGTGTGTATGTGTGTTTTACTGGGGCAAGTGTGTATTGGAAAAAGAGAGGCTCAAAGTCACATGTTCATCTCTCTGTGTGCAGACTTTTTCGCCACCGCTTTGTGTGACAGCTGTTGGTAATGCATTTAGATTAGGACTGGAAATTTTAAGCGAGCAAACGTACACAAATGTTAAATATCCTCCATTTCCTAAACTCATTTGCGTGTGTGTCTGTGGGAGCGCGCGCGAGCCCTCGCCTGTTACTGCGTGTGCACCGTCAGCAGAAAGTTGGCACTGAAACTGATAAACCATTATGCACGACGTGGGAGTGCATGTTTATGTGCCATTTTGTGTGTACGAGTGTGTGTGTGCCTTCGGCTGTGTGTTAGGTTTAATGATCTTTTTTGATGGTCTGCTGTAGCGGATATTGAGATGGATGGTCCATATGCTCTTTATGGTCCATGCATATTTCATATTCCAGCAGCAAAGCAGAGCCGAGCAGGCATTGCTTATACGGCCAGGATGTTGCACTGGGACGTGGGCTGACTTTATGAGCACTCATATACACATCCCACTGCTTTGTCCCCTTTGAATAAACGCCCGAGTTCGAACAAATACAACACATTTCATAACCCCCTTCAGAAAGACACCTACATATCCATAAAGTTTAATGTTGCACATGGAATATCAGGACTTGAAAGCACCCGCGTGGCCACCTGTTGTCTGAACGACTTCTGGGTGCATGTTTCTACGTCACTTAGGACAGAACTTTAGTCAAAGTAATAACCCGCAGTGTCTTTGTACGAATAAACGCTAACTTTGCTTCTCCCTTTTATAAACACAATGGTTGTTTCAGTCCATGCCTTTTTCATTTCCTGTTCTTTCTGGAGAGATACCCGTAGGCACGCAGAAAGCTGTCTTTTATGCTTCCGGCAGCGACGACAGCAGCAGCAGCTGTTTGTTTTGGAATAAACAGGTGAGGAGCTCAAGAGTTTAAATGAAGGAAATTTACAGAAACTCAAACCTCATCCAAAAAAGGTACAAAGAAAAGGACATGCCAGAGTTTTTATATTTTGGTGCAAGAATTTTATTAGCGGAGGGAAAACATCCCCTGAATGTAATGATATGTTAACAAAGGAGCTGTTGCCAAAATGATAAAACATAAAGAAGAGTCAGTGTGGACTCAAATTAAAGCAGTAGCCGACACAAAGTCCTCATGAATGCTCATTTTGCTGACCGCCGTGTGATGATTGACAGGTGGTCACCACATGTAGGCATATTGATTTCATGAGAAAGTGAGAATGAAAGAATAAGAGAAGGAGGGGCAGGGACGAGAGATTGACGGGCTGGCAGAGGAAGACGGAAAGGAAAGGGTGTCGTCAGAGGAGGAGTGAGAGGACGTCAAAAAGATTGAACCTGAAATGAAAAATTGAACGAGAGACGGATGGAAGGACAGTGATAAGGATAGAGAGACAGAGGAGGAGAGTAAGGCAGAGGGGATGATAGTGAAGGGGAGAAAAGAGAGGGGGGGAGAGAAAACGGGAGAGGGTTGTTTCACTGATGGACTGTCGAGTCTGACAGAGTCTTGCTCATGTTCAGTGGAGAGAGGCGGCCACATCATGAAGTACTGACATCCCCAAACACACACACACACAAACACACAAGCTTGTATCATAACCAGGATTTACACGTTAATAGTTTGCCAACAGTCTTTTCTTGTTTTACATCTCAGTTCAGGAAGAAAGTGAGTATGTCTGAGTTTTTGTCTTTGCTTCAACTACCCGTAAATAAGTTTCTTTGCAGATGACTCAGTTCAAGTTGTCATTAAGTAAATATAAGTTCCTTGCAAGCAGGTTGAGAATAGCCATAAGACAAGCTGAAAAGTTTATTTTTATACTTCTTCTAGCACTTTTTTTCCTGTAATTTTTCTTGGTTGTTGTAATTTCACCTCAGATATCTGTAGCTAAATAGAGATGTACTGACAGTGCAGCAGCGGGCAAAGATTTTGCAGTTAAGGGTGCTGACAGCATTTCCCACACATCAAGATTGACTGGGAGCCATGCCCAAATATATATAAGGGGTCAGCCAATTATCAGCTTTGGCCGATCCTCTGTATCAGCATTTTATTTTGCAGAGTGCCGATAAAATTAAATAATTAAAAAGTGCTCCACCGCCGCTAGAGCATCTTTCACCTGAGTCTGTTTTCACTCACCTCTCGATCTGACCTTATTCTCTTGTCCACAACCTCATCTGACTGGACATGCATTACACAAGTTTGCAATGTAATTTTACTGTAAGTGTAACAGGTTATAACTATTTTCTCCTGTATGTGATGTTAAAAGTCTCATTTTTAATTCTATATTTGCAAAAGTCTTGTACTGGGATTTGTAACATCCCAAATTGGGATGCAAATTGGTTCCAAATATTAGTCTTGGTTCTCATGAGCTACTGATAATCTGTAACCGTTTGTCCCTAAAATAACTAATTTTAGATTGACCCCTAGTTTATTGCCATCTTCCAGTGATAAACTACTGGATAATCCCTCTGTCTCTTCATGATGGGTTAATGTGATGCAGGTGGTGTCTACACCTGTTCTGCAGGTTAGAGCAGAAGAGCTTGTTTCTCCTGAGAGGGTGCTAATGCTGCGTTCCAGTTACCTCAGAAGTCAGACGTCGGAGCTGGGAATGACGTTACACCCGAGTTGACGGCGTTCCAGTAAACAAGTCGGAAAACCAAGATGGACGTCTACAGTTAGCCGTCGTTGTCAACTGTCAGCTGTTGTTAGCCATTGTCAGTTGTTGTTAGCCGTTGTCAGTTGATGTTAGCGGTTGCCAACTGTTGCAGGCCGTTGTCAGCTCTACCAGTTGTAAACAACGCACAACATAGTATTTTACTCTGACAAACACTGTAGCAACGTGTTTACGGTTGGATGCTGGGCAGTACAACATATACTTCTTATTTAATTTCACAAAAACAAAACAGAAGTGCTAATAAATAATACATTATGAGAACTTTCACTGATATTTTTACTGTTGATGCACTGCGCTGCCATCTTGGATAATCGGAAATCAGACTTCAGGGGGGCGTTCCAGATGAATTTCCGTCCTGGAGTTTGGAAATTCCGACCTCCAAATACAACTGTAATGCAGCACAAGACATTGTATAACTTAACTTTACGTCAGGACAACCTTTTCCTGCAGCATCGCCCGGGATGTATCGTATCGTGATGTATCCTATCCTATCCTATCCTATTGAATCTGTGTTGTGAGTTTAGTGTATTGCTTCAGCCCTACAATTCACTTACATTTTGCCAAAAGGCCACTGTTGTCTTCAGAGTCACAAAAAGGTTTCATCTCCTTACTCCGTCTCAAAGTGGTTCCCCCATTTCTACCTCTCCTTGGCAAAGATTGCTACTTCCAGTCTCTTTGTGAAGGCCGTTTTTTTCCATTAAAAAATATTTTGTTTTTTGTTTTTCCATTCACTGAGATTTTAAGCCCCGGGTTTGTAAAATGTCCTTGTATTTGCTTTTTTTATGAGCACCAAACAGTATTTAACACAGACACTAGACTTTTTTTGAAGCTATAGTCTGTAAACCAAGACAAGATTTTACATAATATCATGGATTTTATAACCAAATATCTTTCTCAGAGCATTTGGACATGTCTAAATGTTGTGTCAACAGTTCCCACATGCCTTTTCATTGTCTGCAGCACTTTTATGTCTACAAATACAAGTGGGGTTATAAAATAGCAGACAAACTTTTTCCAGCCAAATTCTCTCCTCTTTTCTGGACTCGCGGATGAACGCTCTGCACATCACAATGAATATCTTTCCTCCTGAGATCTGTATGTTTTTAATCATTTTTGCAGTTTTAATTTGATATTTCAAGTATCATTACTTTCCTCCCTCTGGAAATTGAGGTATAGGCTGGAAAGTATTTTCTTATTGTTCCAATTGTATGATAGAGTCCAAGTTCATCTTTTTACTGTATTGGCCTTCTCATTTATTTGTTGTTGTATATTTCATGGTGAACATACAACCTAAAATCAATGATTCCAGGTTTGCATTCGGGATCCAGGCTAGACCAGATAACTACTCTGAGAAGATTCGATTTTCATCATTTTCTCGCCACATTTTCATGTTTTTCTTTTTCTTGTATGTACTCTCTCGGGCCCTGCAGTGTTGTAAATCTCTGACAGGTAATTTACTGAACTGTGGGGGTGATATAAAGCTGCAGGCCGGACTTGGAGTGAGGGTTTTTGCTAGCTGTGGCAATGTTCTTCAGGCCTTGTTAGCAGGAATAATTGCAGACAGAAGAGCAAAGCGTTAGTTGTATCATTTAGAAACTTTTGAGTTTGAACACTCAATAGCAGTTTCCACTCAGAGTGCAGCTCTACTAGTCACTTGTACACCATTTGTGCTCAGAGTTAAAAGTGGCATTGATAGATTTTTCGGCTCATTCATTCCCTGACAAAATCTTTTTGTTTCTGTTATCACTTTGGCCTCTGCGCTGTGGAAGGTCTCAGCGCTGAAACATCTGTGCCGTGCTTGTCTTTTATGTTCAGCTTTGATAAAGGATAAAAATAGAAAGCTCTCCAGATGAAGTGAGCCTGAACATTGTATAATTTTTTTGGAGTGCAGGGCTTTCTTTTTATCCTCCCTTCATTGTTTTTGCTCCATTTATTCCATGCAGCAAAATAATTTCCTAAATGGGTAATTGAGCATTTATCGCTTAGATTAACACTGTGTCTCAATCTGCATGCCTTGATTTGAGGCCTTTGTGATCGTGTACATGCAAATACATTTAATTAATTCTCCATGTCACAGTGCATTAATATAACATCCATAATGCCAGAGACATTTAAGCTGAATATCATCCATCTGATAAGACTGGCCAGATGCATTTAAACACACACAGACTTCACGCTGGTGCCTTTTCATTGGGCTAAAACTACTATTTATCTCACTGCCCTTTAATGAGTGTGTGTGTGTGTGTGTGTGTGTGTGTGTGTGTGTGTGCGTGTGTGTGTGTGTGTTTATCCATCTGTTTTACCCTGAGAGTGTCTAAGCCTCTATTTGCACCTTAAATCCATCTGCTAGCTCTGTTTCTGGCCTTATTTCCTTGTGTTTTGTCTCTTTTTGAGCAAATTAAAAGCTTTGTGAGAGGAATGTTAAGAAGTTTGAACTTCAACTGAGGAATTTATCACCAGTGCTTCTCTTTTACACGATTTGGATGAATGCTGCATTGTCTGAACTGAACTCCAGTAACAGTCCTTTTTTTGTACACATAAAAAGTCGATGATCTCAGTCCGCCTTACAGGACGGGAAAAATCCACATTTTGCCAGAAGTCCTCGATAACACACTTCTGATCCCCCTTGCCTTAATTCTGTCTTCACTTCAGAGCCTTAAAAACATCTCCTCTTGTTCGAACCAGGATCTGCCACGGTAATAGCTGCTGATTTGTGATCATGTGGGTTGGTAACAAGTGGTCCTTAATTAGCCATTAGACAGAGGGAGAAAAGAGGTTGGATAAAGAGGGGATGGATGGGCTTTTCTGTGCAGACACTGAACCCCTGTAGCCCCCTTTTTTTTGCTACAGTAGCTCCATAGCTAAGGCTTCTCTTGTCGTCATGGAGACTAATGTTGAAAGCCAGCTGTGGTTTTGTCTTGGAAGCCCATTAGGCTGGAGCTCGGCTGGCACTCCTCTCTGTCTCGCTTTTCTTTCAGGCTTTAGCTCAGCGGACTCACAATGGGGCGAAAATATCCTCTCTGTGTTTAACTTGTCTGTGATATCAGACGTGGGGTCAAACAGCAGTTACAAATCATCCTGGACTTTTGTTTTGTTCCTCTTTGAAGAGGTTTCTTATTCTCACATTAGCCAAGTTGTCTAGGGTTTGACGAGAAAGAGTGAGTTTTTTTATCGTTCCCTTTAAGAAGCTGATTGCTCTTGTTAGGTAGACCCCACCCACCGTGGAGTTCAAGTAGGTTAAAACAAGTGCAAGCAGATTGAGAATAATTTGCTAAAACTATCTGGCCCTGTTGTGTTTGATGAATGGCACTACTTTTTATTCCACATTGTCCTTCTCCGTGGTCGAAACACTACTACTTGCCCTGGATTTCTTATTAAATTTGGCTCTGGAGAGGGATCTGAGTAATGTTGTTGTTGTTGTTGTTATTGTTGAGAATGACTTATCCCTCCATTGGAGCCTTTTTTTTTTCCCCTGCAGCCCTGATATTCAAGCCTCCAGACCCTGACCCAAACACATCAGTCAGCGGGACACACAGGGTGCCATGTGACTCGGCCAGGAAGCAGGCCGGGAGAATGATTGTTATGCAGTGGATTGATCAGGTTTCACAGGACACTGCCGAACTATCAATCTGTAGGACCGTACACATAGGCGAGCGGAGGAGTGTGTGTGTACATGTTTGTGTGTGTGTGTGTGTGTGCGGTTTTTGCACGGGCAGGGTCAGGGCCAGTGTTGTGTGTTTGGGAGGGCAGCGAATGTGGGAATCAATAGCTGGGTCAGAGGGTAATGTCTCACTGAGTGCTGAGTCTATACACAGCCATCAGACAGGATCACTATCAATCATCAGGAGAGCTTAGGGAACATACACTCTCTTTCTCTTCTTGCCTCGTGTCTGATGGGATCACTATTGCTCATGTAAGGGCTTTGGGAACACAGGGGGAAGACGATGTAGGGAAGGGAGAGGAGGGGTTGATGTGGCTAAAGTGATGGAGTAAGACCGAGGGCTTGTTTGGTATTGGCAGATATTTGGTGGATGACTCCTGGGGTTTGGAAAAGTAGAGGAAGCCCTAAAGTGAACCCCTTAGAGCGTAAAATAGGCTGGGTGGGGTGCTTGTAAAGTGGACGATAAATTAAAGTTGAAAACAAAATCAATAAACACACAAATTAGAGTAAAGACCACAACTCCCGGTCTTATCCGGGGGTTAAACAACATTTTTCTTAATCGAAGCGTTCTGTCTCTCCTCCTTCCACTTCTTGTCGTTCATCCTTCCATCCGCCCACTCCTCTGATCACCCCTCCTCTTGGCTTTCTTCTCCTCCTTTGTCTTCTTGTTCTGCATGTTTTTCGGCCCTGGGCTTCCTGCCATCTGTTGTTCATGCAGTTGTTCATTTTAATTTCCTCTCAGCCATCCATCTGTGTCATGTGTGCTCGGACTAAACCCACCACATACGGTTCGGTACGATTGATTGCAAAGAGAAACATGTATGTGCAGGATACATGTTGATTGTTGCTCCGTGTGAAAGCAGAGACAGCTCGGCGCAAGGGCCTAACACTAGCTGCCATCGGGATTTTGTGCGGCCTAAGCCCCCCTCTTTCACACCACATAGTCGATACAGGCGAGGAGAGGAAGACAGAAGGAGACAGTGATGGATGGATAGAGGAAAGAGAGGAAGAGGAGAGGAAAGAGTGAGACAAGAGCAGCAAAAAGAAGATGTAAGGAAGAGATGGAGAGAGATTTGCAGAGCGCTGCTCGTGTTAAGGGATCATGTCAGTGCTCCATATGAGGCAGCTTGGCAAGAAACCCTGTTAGCTGTAATACTTTGATCAATTACCAATGATGAACCATCGCTCTGCAGGGCAGGACTGTGTCTGAGTGTGAGTGTAAGTGTGTGTATGTGTTAGCGTGTGGTGGCCTTGAGAGGAGGCAGCATATTCCAGTCTGTTGGACACACTCTGGACAGGTATTGATTTCATCAAAGAATTTAGGACCTACTCAAGCACAACACCAGATCAGACACGCCCACACCCACCTACACCTGAGGCCCAGATGAGGGGGCTGCAGAAGATAAAAAAATAGAAAAACATGTTCGACTCTTTGTGTTCTTCTTCTGGAATAATACCGCTTATTTTTATTAGGGGTGAGAATCACCAGTGGACCCACGATATTATCACGATACTTGAGCCGATACAATATAATCATGATGCTTGGGCCAAGATACAATATTATCATGATACTTGGGCCAGGATATGATATTATCACGATACTTGGGCCACGATACGATATTATCACGATACTTGGGCCACGATACGATATTATCATGATACTTGGGCCACAATACAATATTATCATGATACTTGGGCCATGATACAATATTATCATGATACTTGGGCACGATATGATATAATCACGATACTTAGGCCACAATATGATATTATTGCGATTTTGAACATTTTGCAATACAGTGAGTATTGCGATACAATATTTTGCAATATATACTTTTTTAAAAACTGTTTAGCTAATTTAGTATCTGGCTTTTCTTTATGTTTGTCTTATTTACGCTGTATTTTATTTTCATGTAGCACATCTTGCAAACCTATTATATATTTGTTTTACTAACTTTCTCGTGCTCTATGATCTCGCCTCTGCCAACCTCAATGGACAAACAGTTGATTTTATTTTTCCTGTATAATAGATCTGACTTCATATTAGCAATTAATTTGAAAGATCGATACTTGGTAAATGAAAGGATGCGATGTATCACTGGACAAAATATCGCAATACTATGGTGTATCGATTTTTTTCTCCCACCCCTAATTTTTTGTAAAGTTAGATATTGTGCTCAAAGACAAAGGTGACTTCAACCTGACTGGAAACCAATCTATAAAGGCCACAGAGGAGGCAATGATCAAAATAATCAACGAATGGATATTTTCCTGGTTGGACAGGGTTAACATGAACAAGAAAACAAGAGTCCAGCAAACCGGTTTTTAGTTTGTATTTCAATTGTTACAGGAATGAAGAGGAGATGGGATTTTAATTCAGCAGCAGCAGAACACAGCATCACTGGGGGACATGTGTACATAAGAGTTTTATTTTCAACACTCTTGTCTGCATGCTGTCACTCTGGCAAAAACTAGACAGAAACCCAGCGAGAGGGAACAATTGAAGTAAGAACACAAAAATGAGAGAAAGGGAGAGTGAGAGAGAGTGAGAGAGAGAGAGAGAGGCAGGCAGAGCAGAGGGAGTGCGAGGAGGAGGATACACTAGGAAGGAGTCCTGTCTGTGTTCAATGAGGGCTGTATTGATGCCACACATCTCAGGGAGCCTTCATTCAGCAGGGGAGCCATTCAATTATACCTACCGCTCCGCTGGCTGATTGGAGTCCTCCCGTAACAATGTTAGCATCTCTGTACCGAAACAGAATCAGGATTAAGAATTCTGGCCTCGGGAGGCAGAGTGGCTTTTAAAGTCCTGATTGGAAATCATTTGTAACACCGCTGGACAGGTTTTAATCCAGCGCGGCCTTGTGCCCATCAGCGGTGTCTCCTTTGATTTCAGTAACCTTGATTTATCTCGGCGTGCATGTTATTTATTTATTTTTCTTTGCAGCTCCCTGTTGCTTTCACAGTTACGTACACGTACATTCTTGAAACCCAAAAAGCTACCTGTAATTTTCTCTCTTTTGATCTTTGAAGGCTTTGTGGTTAAAAATGAAAAGGAAAACTCGGATGGCCTCATTACTCTTGTGTTTCTGCGTGTGTCCTGTGAATCACATCCTCACGTGTTTCACGCAGACATGTCTGCAACGTTTCTATTGAACACTTTTTTCACGTTTCAGAAAACGTGAATTTTGGTATTCCCAAATGTGAACTTGCTACAATTGAGGCGACCTAAAATTGAAGCAGTTATTTTTCACAGCGGAAAGTTTGACTCATCATCATGAGAAAAGAAAAACACTCATAAAATGGCATAATATGGCTACAGTCAAGACCTGCTCTGTGAAATAAATGAAAACTGAAACATTTAACTGACTATCGAAATGATTTTCACTACTTTCAGTCCCGCTGTCTCACGTTGAACCAGCATCTGAAATACCTGATCATGGTAAACAATCGAAGCACGTGGGAAAAAAATTCTTCGCCTTCAGTCCGTCAAGGCTAACTGCTGATTATGGTGAAAGCCTTGAAAGTCAGCCACTGCTCTCAGGTTCAAGCACAGACAAAATATTTGAATCCAGGGATTTTTGAATAAATCCCGTTAAAATGTTTTAATCATGAAAAGTTCATACTTATTTTCAGGCAGTCAATGCCTTGCCCTGTGGTCTTCATTGGTTTTCTGCTTGACATTTTCAAGCAGTTTCATACCTGAGTTAAAACTCCTGTGAGGATATTTTATCTTGTCATGAAACAGACCAAATTTCTACTGATAAGTCATATCATTTATAAAAGCAAATGAGATCACTGGAGCTGAGATTGATAATTATTTTAAATGGATTTTTTGTAAGTTTCACACTCATAGACGAGTTCAAGAATAGCACACAACAAAAACAGCCTTTTTATCATCTTTGTCTAAGATTTATTGAAAGTTGCGTCACAGGCATTTAATTTGAAGAAACATTTGATTTTGGATCAAAATCAGCAAGAATTAAATGCTACAGTGCTATCACATCAAACAATGAGTGTTGTCTAGACCTGCTCTTTTTCTTTGGAAAGCTTTTTGGGATAATGCGCTGTATAAATAAAATTTGACTTGATTTGATTTGATCACGATGGGGACTGACATGTAATAGACAAGCCTTACAGCAGTCCTTTCAAATTTTAAATTGTACACAAGAAAGAAGCATTCATCACCCGGTAATGACTTCAGCAGGACCTTTAAGGAGACTGTTAGAAAACTCATTACAAACAGATTTGTTTGGCAAATAGACTTGAGATTGACTGACCATGTTAATCCTCCTCCTGTGTTAGGGTCTGCACTGACCCGTTTTTGATTTTAAATGCTTAAAAGAATCACATAAATTAGCTTTTTTTGCATCAAGACTTTTTGACTTTGTCCAGAACCTCTATTTCAACAAAATAAAAACGAAAAAAAAATAATTAATTGACTAAATTATAAAATGCTCTTATTAAAATTATGGCACTTGTCGTGTTAGGGTCGCCGTTGACCCAGTTAGATCAATATCTAATAATTAGAGCAAAAACTGAAATCATATGTTCACTGTCAGGCACCACACTGACAGTCAGATCCTCTTCCAATCATTTGAGATTTAGGAAATTCTCATTTTTCCATGTTTTTACCTGCACAAAAAACAACGTAAGGCATGTCCAGACATGTGAGATCACTTCAGTATAGAATTTATAATCTATAATGTAGTTCTGCCTTTTGCTCCGTTATTGTTATTTATAGCAAATTACCACATATTTTTGTAATGACATGGAAAAAATAAACATTTGAAGAGCCAAAAACTTTTGTTTGTTCTAGATAGGCCGGAGCAACAAAAATATCAGTTTTCAATCGCTGCATCCTGCACAAACTGCAGATTATATGAAGATTATAATAAATGTAAAAATATGAATTTATCGGTTATCGGTATCGGCCATGAGAAGAAGGAAATTATCGGTTATCGGTATCGGTTGAAATTTTTCATATCGTGCATCACTAGTATAGATGTCTTTGTGAGGGGACAAAGAAAGTCCCAGAGGCCGACAACAAAAACTATTATAAGCAATATTTTCCTGGATAATGAAGCCTAACAAGGTAACCTAGAGATGAGAACCAAACTGGATGATAGAGAAATGTTTTTAGTGTAATTTACAGCTGATTTAAGACACGGGTCAAAACCGACCCTCAACATGGTGGGTGCATGGGAAAAGCTAACACAGGAGGAAGGTTGATATTAGAGCTAGAGTTTATTGGGACCAGTCTAACGCTTGGATTACATTTTATTTAGGAATGCGGTGCTATGACTTGGCTGAAAGAAGACTCTGCGCCAAGATTAGCTGAAATTTTTCACTCACACACACACACACCTCTCTACAAAGTCTTATTAACAGAGAAGAGCGGCGTAAGCCTCTCCTTCAAGCTCTTGTTACAAAAAGGAATGATTGCTCTCACTGTCAAAGTGTTTTATGGAAGTACAGTGCTCCAACAGGCCGGGCACATAATAGGCAGGCGGGGGGTAACTCTGTGGCATTATGTTGCCTACCTCTGATTTATATAGGCAACATACTCTCCTCTGCTCTCTCCTGCACTCTCACACTCTCTGATGTGATTTTACAGTAGTGACATTGATCCAGGCCCACTTTGATCTTGCTCTTAGCTGTTGCTCCCTCTCGCTCCCCTCCCGCTATCACCCCTTCACTCCCTGGTGGCCAAACTCTGCAGCTTTTAACCCCGACTACCCCTCGTCTCATCCCATAAATCCTCCCATCTTTCTCTCCATCTTTCCATCACTCCGTCCCTGTGGTGCTTCTCTGTTGTAAGTGTTCCTCGGCTCTTGGAAGCCTCCCCTCTGCTCCTTGGAGTTGTTGTGTGTTGCTGATGAAACCTCCTACTGCATGATCTCCTCCTGCTATCAGCTCCAGCCAGTCGCGTATCACAGGAGAGAGGTTTTATGGTGAGCCGACACATAAGGCAAGGACGGCATCAGGGGAATACAGAGGCAGCACATCATGGTATTTCATGACTTACACTATTTTTTAGCTTTCGTATCTCTTCATCTCTCTCGAGTTGATTTTCAGGAAGCGTTACTCTGATAAAAACTCCAATTTAATAACAAAGAATAGAAATCCACCACACGTTTTGTTAGGTAATGTGTATTTTCTTCTAAAATTAAAACATTTATTATACTCGGTTTAGTCCCAGACTGAAGGAGAAACATAATCAGGGCTGGTTTGAGGCTGTCACTTCAAGTTTGCACAAAAGAAGGGGCACATTTCTCAGGAGACGTCTCATATCCAGCTGCTTCTTGGAATGACAAACATAAAACCTTCAGCTCAGCATTGGGTCAGTTTATGGATCTCTCCCTCTGCTGAATAAAATGGTCTTTTTATCATTGTTTGTAGAGTCTATTTGGTTATAAGATTAGTGTTATTTCATTCTCTCTCTGCACATCAGCATGTTTGATTCTAGAGGAAAAAATAAGGACTAAGGACATCTTCATTATGACATGCATGTAGCAAAGTTTTATACTAGAAGACATTCCAATAGATGTCACACATTTTTCCTCTAGAGTATGAAGGTCGAGATAAAATACGATGAGATAAGACAGGACTAATTTACTCTCAAGTGCATCTTAAGTGCCAGATTTCTGCAAAGTTACAACTTAAAGTGAAATATAAAAGCATAGACATAATTAAATCAAGTGTAAATAAAGGATGAATGTAAATAATATTCCCCAAATGGAAAAGTAACTAGTGCTGGAAGGTTTGAAAAGTAAGCAAAGTCAATTACATTATGATACATTTAGGACAGTATCGGCAGAAAAAAAAATCTCAGATTACATCAGATGATGAAAATTAAAAAAGCACATACTGATAAAAATTATTGTCATGACAGTCAACATTTTGTGGTCATTAGGGCTGTCATGATATCAGATTTTCACCGACTACTTTATTGTGGCTTTAAAATATTATTCTAATGATATTTTGAAACAATTTCAGAGAAAAGACAAGACAATATAATCTACGTATATGTTCATAAATATTAAAATTCCTCAAATTTTACTCATAAACACAATTAATTTAGATGTCATCATTCATTTGTGTTTAAAGCTTATTGGCTCATCACAGACTGTGTAACTGAAATTACTTCAGAAAATGCATAGCCTCACAAAATGATTGATATTTCGAGCTTTTTTCATATTCATTTCTGTATTGCATTTAGGTTGTTTTGTTTCCTACATTTTAGACCTATGCTTTTCTTATGATGTATAATCTTCTTTTGATGCATTGTAAGATATGAAACTGAATGGACATGGTTAGAAAGTATAAATGTTCATTTAATTAGTTATCAGAGGAGGCACAGGTTCCAACGCTGGATTTTGACTCACAAAATTTTTTAAAAAATCACAAGTTTCAGTTTTGAAAATTCCCAATAATCTCTAAACAAGCTGCTTTAAGCCAGCTATCAAAACAGTCAGTGTGGAGATTAACATTAAGAACCTCAGCTATGAACTCATAGTACTACAGTGTGCTTATTTTTAGCACATCAATAAAGATGGTTACCATCAATACCGGTGTATTGGGACAGCTTTTGTGGTCATATCAACATGACATAAAAAATTAATTCAATCCCTTCTCAAAAACTTGCAGAAAAGGTTGTTGCCGTAGACCAAATGTTCATCTGCAAGTGATGGGAAAAAGACCTGCACTGGTCTCAATCCTTTGATCAAGCTGCTCCTCCAGTTTTCTGCTCCTCTTGAGTCAATGTTTCTTCCAGAAGTGCTCTCCACAACATAAAACATGGCTGCAATCTCTCTGAACCCTAAATTTTACTCTGTTACGTTCAAAGTTGAAGGAAGGGAGAAGTACCTTTTTTCATTCAGCTGCTTCAGGCCCATTTCATCTAGTATGAATGTTTAACCGTATGTATCATTACTTAAACTATGACTAAAACATGACACCTTTATTGTTGTTGGATTGCTTTTTAAGGATTACAGCGTGTTTTGTAACACCGCTGTTTAAGAGTAGTTTTCAGTCAAAACTACGAGAACCGTTGGAGGGTCATTATTAGTGTAAGAATAGATCAAGTATCTCAATAGAAATTATTTTACAGTCTGTTTCAACAAATTATTCCACGACTTTTGTATTAAACTGATTTATATTGAAGGCTTTTTTTTTTCTTTTCGGGGGTATTTTTATGAACATGATTGTTTACAAATGAATTTTCAGAGCTTTAATGAGAAATCTTACATCCTTCACTTCAGCTCTAGTTCATGATCTCATGCACATGTCAGTGCTCAGTTATCTTCAGCCTGAATGTTCAAGTTTTTATTTCATGTATATTTGAGACGCCCATATCACTTTAACCTTTTTTGTCTCATGATCCAAAGATGTCACTCCGTATCAATACACTGTTAAGGTGAGGTGCTTTGATGTCTCACCCAGAAACACGAACACACACAAAACAACACACACACACTCACAAACACATACTCTGTACAAATGCTATAACCAGCTTTTATTTTGGCAGAGTGATTTACTTTCAGATTACTCCTGATACTCCAAGTTTCCCTCCCACTCATTTTTCTCTCCTTCTTTCTGCGATCACCCCTTCCTCTCAGAGGAGAACTTGCTTTTCTTCTGTAGTGTAAAACTCTCTAACCGCCTTTTTTAAATTTCCTGTCTGCTCAGATTCGCATCCTGTCCTTTTTTCTTTTCTTTTTTTTTCAATTTGCATTCACGTCTCCCCCAGTGGAACCCATACCCATCCCTCTCTCACTTGCTGTATCTCCCCCATTTTCTATCTCACTCTTTCTGTTTTGCATCCACTATAAATATAGTTCCCTTGAAGCGTTTTTGTGCTTTTTTTTTCTAACACTAATACCACAAGAAGTAAATCTGTTCTGCAGGGGAGTAAATGATGTAATGAGAGAGAGTGAGGAGGAGGAGGAGGAGGAGGAGGAGGAGGAGAGCAAAGGAGGGATGTTGGACAATTAATCTTCCGCTCATGTCACTCTGAAAGGAAGGGATGAGAGGAATGGTGAGAAGGGGGAGAAAGACAAATTCAGGATAGATTTGAAGAGCGAGGGAAGGAGTGATGGAGAGATGGAGACATGGGGAGCGGTGTTTCGATCTTCATTTAATAATTGAATAATAATCTCCCCAGAGACATGACCTAGAACTGGCAGAGAGGCAGCATCGGGCACAGCATGACACACTGCTGCCCCCTTGTGATTTTACCGTGTCACCACTATAACAGCCTGCAGAGTGTGTGAGCGAGCGAGTGTGAGCGCACATGCTCATCGGTGTGTGTATGATTTACAACTGCAACCTGTCTCTGTCACATAGATACGGGCCCGCGTCTGTGATGGAGAGAGAAAGAGGGCTTTTGGATGTCAGGAAAGAATCTATTTCACTTTGTCACACAAACTACACACACATCCACTCCCAGACACAGAATCAGACCTTATCTTCCTGTCAGGCTGAGTCTTTTTTAGGGTTGACGCTGATATATGAGCTTCTGGTTTGGGAGGGGGGATGGGGAGAGAACGGGGGGAGGTGAGAAACGTAGGCCAGGAAGTTGACGGCTGACGTGAGCGCAGCGTTGCGCTCAGGTTGATGTACGAGCGGTGGGGTTAGGGGACAACGCTGCGCTGACACCAGGAGAAGGAGCTGTGGCCCTGGGGCCTTCAGTCCATACTGAAGAGCCAGCTCCGCATTCTCTGCATGCAGCAGCGCTCAGCCACAAATACACACACACACGCACTTACACACACCTGCTTTGTGTTATTATTAACTGAATAATTCTTAAAGAAGAGTTGTTTGACCTTAGGTGAGCATTACACTGAGGCGCATGAATCTGAGAACACAGAGAAATGGACCGAGAACTGAGATGCGGGGTCTGCTTTCATCACGTGTGTGTCTCGGCTGTGTCACATACAAAAGCTGTGTCCCTAAAATGTTGATAACATGTGTGGACATTGGAGATTTTATAAGAAGTGCTTGTTATGGAAGAGTTAAAACCTGCAGCTACACTGTTTGGGTGTGCTGTTGTGTCAGTACTTAATTTAAAGCTAAACAAATTCAACAAAAAAAAAAAATGTGTCACTGTGATTTGTTCAAAAAGCGATTAACTTTCAGAATAAAAAGTCCACCTTTATTTGGCACAAAAGATGCTCTTTTATCCTACAGTTTTTATATGTTGTTTAATTCCTTGTGTGTTTTTATAGGCAGTTTAGACACTGGTGTAAAATCAGTCTGGATAATCAAAGTGTGTTTTTATTTCGCCAACAGTTTGGGGGAAACATTTTCTCTCACGTCTGATTACATTGTGCTGACTGTAGCACTTTTAAATTGGCTGTTTAAAAAAAAAATCATTAAACATCGAAATAAAACCTCTTTGATTAATGCACACCCGACAGGTTCAATGAGGTGTGATGTGTCTTTATTGTTTAACGTCTTAGTGACAGTGGCCCGCTCATTCTGATCTTTTTCTTGTGTTTTTTTTCCAGTCTGCGTAGGGAGGGCTACACGATGCAGGTGAACGTCAACGACTACCTGGACATCTACTGCCCTCATTACAACGACAGCCAGCGCATGGTGGGCACAGGAGAGCAGTACGTCCTCTACATGGTCAGTTACCGCGGTTACAGAAACTGCGACCCTCAGATGGGCTTCAAGAGGTGGGAGTGTAACCGTCCGCACGCCCCGCACGCTCCCATCAAGTTCTCGGAGAAGTTCCAGCGGTACAGCGCCTTTTCGCTGGGATACGAGTTCCACGTTGGACAGGAGTACTACTACATCTGTGAGTGAAATCAAACAAATAATCCATTTCTCTTTAACTATCAGATATTTGTACATGTCCTCAGGGTGTAAACAAAGCAGAAGCAGCCAGAGCCTTAATGCAAGAAACTGTACGATCAAACATGTTCTCGTTTTATTGTTAAATGGATTTGATGGTTACTCAGTTTGCAGTCAAAGTCCGTCCTTAGGTAATTTCAGGCAACAAATTGCTGTTTCAAATCTAATCAAATCACGCTATAGTCAAGTAGGCTCATCAATTTTCTTCAGAGCTAATCAAATTAACTCTCAGCACCTCATGCTGATATGACACTGTAGAAATAATGAACCTTTAGCTTGTCATCAAACCATTTTACACCAAATATTTCATCTCTACATTTAGTGTCTCATGCATTAAATGGGTAAATAATGAAGGCAGCGATCATTAAGACTGCAGCCGATGATGGGAGAAGTCTCGGGAAAGTTTTGTGCTACAGCATCAAAACTGAAAGCTGACGTGCTTCTCTGCAGATTCACACAAAGAGGGTTTTTGTTTTCTCTTCTCTCTCTTGATGGTCTTCCTCTGTTTTTTGACCCTATGTAGAAATGCAGGTTAGGTTGATCGCTCGCCATGAATCGTCCTTTTGTTCTAGATGTGTTTCTCTTGATGTCGATTTGGCGAATAACGGGCGATCTGCAACCAGAAATTTCAACAGGCAACATTTGACATTCACTTTTTTTGTTTTGCGATCAAACACGTCATGTCTAAAAAAGTTGAGCTGGTAGATTTTTAATATGATGTTTTTATAATGTAATGAGGTTAAAAAATAAACTCTATAATTCAACTAAGACCACAAAATGTGAAAACAAATCTTGTCTCAGAGCGATTCTAGTTTTTAAATACTCATGATGTTTATTTGTGCTGCTGTTCCACGCTTACACATGAAGTCATTCAGAGAAATTCGACCCGTGTTTTGGACTCCTAATGAGCTGCTTTTGTTCATCACATCCTGATTTCCCCTCATGTGGGTGTAAACCATCTGCGTGTGTGCTTTAATTCCCCCAAGCCTCCCCGACAGCGAGTCGTTGGCCTCACTACTGAACACATGAGCCGACGCCGGAGTGTTTCATGTTTTGCTTTTAGGCGGTGTTGTGTGTGTTTACACCGAAAATGAACTCGCTCAAAGTTCACAAAGATAAAAATGAACCAGTAGTGTGATCATAGTTTTTTTTTGTATTAATTTCATGGTCCCAAAAATTAACTAGATCACTTTAGTGTTCTTCTTTGGCTGCAATGGTTCAATTCCAGGACCTTCAATCACTGACATTTCCAAAACTAAATAGATAACTGTCTGCTAACATAGAAGAACACACAAAGATCAAGTTTAAAAGCCTGGTAGAAACCCCCTAACTTTGGTTCATCCACTTTTTAACACCTTGACGGACCAAAAAGCAACAGTGAGGGACGGCTCCTCTCTCTTTTCGCTGCAGGATGGAGAGATTCGGAAGATCTGTGTACCCACGGCCATCACACTTTGTAATTCTTCTATAAATAGTAGATTAGATGAGATTCCAGAAAACCAAATTCCCTTTTGGGGATCAATAAAGTTCTTGTAAATCGAAATAAGTACGCTTTTTTATTCACTTTGATTTTCTTCCTCCCTCACCTGTTCGCTGCTGAGATAGAGAAAAAAATCCAGCTTTGAAAACTCGGGGGGACACATTTGAATATGATTTCTTAGTATCTTTAATGCTGCAGAAATGTGAACCACACTGCAGAGGACTGACTCCTGCTGGTTATTACAGCTTAAGGTCAGAAACAGTCCTTGTGTAACATGAGTCCATCTTCATATATTCTTAAAAATACTAAAAACAACAGTAAGACACGCTGGTTTGGCTGAGTCTGGAGGTTTGTGGTTCAGGCCTCGACCTTATGCTGCAATTTTTTTTGACAATTAACCTGGGGAAGGGGAAGGGGTGATTATTGACGCCACTCTTTCCATAAAAAGTAAAAAGGTTTGATGATGCAGTGTTTGTGCTGGGACAGATGATGTTACCCAGATTTGTGTTTTACTTTTGATATTTCAAATACTGACTTTTAAAATCTTCGCAGCTACGAAACTCAAACTTGCTCAGACGCTTCGGGGACACCGCACATAAACAATAAGGAGATAAAAACATGCAAACACACATGAACTATTGTCCATTTGATATTTTTACAGCCACGCCAACCCATCATCACGGCCGCAGCTGTCTGAGACTACGAGTGTACGTCTGCTGCTCCACGGGTGAGTCCCCCCACACTGCGTGAATGAAAGGGAGCGAATGTGTGTTTGGTTTTCTGTGGGTGTGTAAGTGTGTGTGTGTTTGTGTGTGGTGTCTGACCCATTGTAATGTAATGCTTGGACCTGTTTGCAGACTGTATGTGCACCCATCTGCCTACTCTACCATCTGGCGGCCACCATGCTACCCAGGAACCCACACACATACACTAACACACAGACGTATTACTCTCTCGCTCTCGTACACACACACAGACACACACACACAGCAGCTGCATACAGATGTACACACACAATCTAAATACAGTCTGAAACGGGCAGAGCTATTAATACTCCTGCTGAGTTTCCCCTACAGCAGTTTCACTCACAGCACAGAGCCCGCTCTCTCTCTCTCTCTCTCTCTCTGCTCTTCTTCTTCTTCTTCTTCTTCTTCTCTCTCTTTTTCTGTCTCTGTCTTCTTCTTCCCCTTCCTGTTCAGCAGATAGGAGCAGCTCCAGCTTTGAAGGCCCCTCACCCCTGCCTCCCCCTGTCACCCCTCCTCTCTCGCTCCTTGTCAGAATCCATTTATTGCCGTGTGCGGTCAGTGGGTGGCTATGTATATGTAGTGTTAACCTCTCTGGCTCTCCTGCCTCCTTTCAGTCGCTGGACCCTCTCTCTCCCTCCCGCTCTCTCTCTCTCTCTCTCTATCACACACACACACGCACACACTTATACACACAGACTTTGATCCCTGTCCGGTCCTTTTAACTTCCACCGCCCTGTAGTATTAACCTCTCCTCCCTTTCACACCCCGGCTCCATCGCTCTCCTTCTCTTTTCACACACTGCCTCCCTTCAGCTTGATCTGCTTCCCTTCTTCTCTCCTCTCTACCCCCTCCCCTCCTCTCTCTCTCTCTCTCTCTCTCTCTCTCTCACTCTCTCCCCTGTTATGGCTTGTCAGTCTGTCTGCTCCGGGGGATATTTTTTAACCCTTACACCTTAGCCTTGCTGTTCCCTGAGCTGTTCTCTCAACATGTCGAGTTGAATGTAATTAAAATCCTTTGGGTTGGAGGAGCGATTTAACCCCTCCAACCTCCCCCTCTCCCTCGCTGGTTTTCTGTCTCACCTAATTTTTTTTTCCTCCTTGTCTTTCAGCCTCTGACGTGGATGATGAGCCAGAGCCCACAGAACCAGACTACACGCTTAGACCAGGCCTCAAAATCGATGATATTGGTGAGTCACACGTGCGCACACACGCCTTCTTTCAAAGTAAAGGTGGAGACGATCTACGAGGCCCTTCTGGACACATAAAACAGACATGAGCTCATCTCCATCAATCAGGTCACATTAGTCTCAAATCATGTGATTCACAGTCATGCTGCTGTAATGAAGTAAAGGTAGTTCAGCTGTTTTTTCTTATTTTAAAAGAGGCACTTAACCCTATCCTGAATTTAAATCAGCTTTTACAGTTTGTTTAAATTCCATTATGTTGTGTTTTTAAACTTTTCAATTAGATTTTAGATTATTTAAACACCTTCAAGTCTATATTACTGATGTAAAGTAATACCTGAGGATGTCACTTCCACCTGCAGTGAACTGTCACCCGTTTAGCAAGCGCTGTAGGTATCGTCTTCAATTTAGTTATCCACAGGTCTGAGGCGACTGACCCTTTCAAAGAGATGTTCTGCTGGCTGATATCAGTCTGATCAGCAGCAGCAGCAGCAGCACCAGAATCCTCAGCTCATAGGTGGACGCTGAAACTCAAAGGACTTTGGTGATATCTGATTCTGGGAGTTTTGAAAAGTAAATTGTACGATCACTTGGGATTTTCCCCGAGGGACAAAATAACACACAATCAGAAGAAACTTATGTGTTAATTTTGGACCAGTGAGCCCCATTTTCAGCAAATCACATCAGCTGAATAAAACCAAGTGCTACTCCGTATTGAGCTTTTATTTAAGAATAATTCTGTGGCCTCTTTCTAGCGTGTCGCTCCCCACTCTCTTCCTCTTTTTTCTGCTCTAACCCCTTTCATTACCGTTTTTGTAAATAAAGGCCAAAAAAAGCCTAAAAATAAACAGTCAGTCAGCGCATGCTTTACACCCATATTCATGGCAGAGCAATCAAAAACCCAGAGGGAACTTAACTTACAGAATATCAATGACAAAAATTACAGATGAATCTATTGGGAAAAAGAAAGAACAATATTTAAAAGTCTTTTAGGAAATGGAAATTCTCATCTTTTCTTTAGTTATCATTTAGTTTTTGGATTTTTTAAGAGACAATTCTTTTCAGCTTCTCACTTGTAATTATGACTTGAGTAATTTTTTCTGAATAATTTTTGTCAGGATTTGTTCAGTCCTCTAATCAGATAGGAGGATGGCCAACGTGTATCCAATAAGGAAGAATTGAGAACATATTGGTGATAAATCAACGGAATAATTTTTCTTCGTGTCTCAAAACTTTTTTAATTTGTCTTACTCCAAGCGTACACAGGCTGCAACAGACGAGACACAGGCCGAGTTGTTCTACCTGTACTCAGTGAAAATAACACACTTTTTTTTTCATCTAATTTCTTCAACGATTGCTGTGAAAACATCTAATAATTCACTGCAGATTTCTGGCTCTTAATTGGTCAGGATATATCCTTACCAATTAAAGGGACCTTTACAGATGTGACAGTTTAAGATGAACCTTCGCAGCACCAGCTGGCTGAGCACACCGCTGATCCTGCTGAACAAGTACATACATGCATATTCAGTTAACACTTACAGTCTCCACCCAGATGTTCAACCGTACAAAAAAAACAGAGTTTAATGGCCAGCACCAAAAAAAAAAAGATAATTTCTAAGAGGAGAAGCTTATCCTGGTTTCCTGTATTATGCCCTTTTTCTGGGCCTATCAGGATTACATAACAAGGAGAATCATGGGACTCGTGAATCATACTAAATCTGTCGGCTCTGGAACTGTCTGAAATTTGGCTGTGATTTCAGGGACAGGCTGAGCAGTATATTAATAAGAAAAATACTTAAAATAATCTCTCAGACGGTTATGTGGCTGTTTTCTTAACGTTATGGCAACATTCACACAAAGACAATATGCTCAGCTAGCATGACCTAGCTAGCTGCTACATGTTACACAAACAGCCGTAGAGACTGATCATCTTCCTGTCTGTTTTTTACACTCTTCTCCAAGGTAGCGTGTAAAGCGCTGTATGGTGCTGTGCTGTTGTTAATCTCCTTGTGTGTGCGCCTGCATGTGTGCACTTGTGTAATAAATCAGTCTGTTCTCATAACTGTCATAAGAAAACTCATCACCGACCCAAGCGAACGGCTGCAGGTCATATGAGTCGGTTGAGGCACCTCTCCCTCACTTCTTTTTTCTTTCAGCCATCTCTCTTTCATCTTATTTCTCTCTCCCTCTTCCTTCATCTCCTTTTCTTCATGCTCCTCTCATTCTCCCGCTCTTTAATTCTCCATCCAACATTTTCCTCCCAGAGCACAGGCAGGAACGCAGCAGAGAGGAAAGCCACAAGAACTCAGTTTATTCACCTTTTGATGTGTGAAATTGAGTTTTTCCCTGGTTTAATTTTTTTTTCCCCCCAAGACGATATTAATCTAAGGATTACGGTATGCATTTGTGCTATCACAGCAGTGTAAGCTATAGATCTGAATCAAGAAATAGTTTAATTCCAGTATAATCTTGTTTATTTTACCTGAGGTGAGGCACAGGTTAGAGTCTGTTAACTTTTACTTACATATTTGTTTCTCCAGCCTTGAGCAACGCTTCATCATCCTCATTAAGTTTCCCACACTGTGAACTTTTCTTTCTTTTTTTCCTTATAATTTTAATAGAAAGCAAAAACTGCTCATTATTTAACAAATATATTTCTGGCTTTGATTCAGTGTCAGGTTGTAATTTCCTCGGATGAATAGATGTTTTGGAAGAGCCAAGACTGATAAGGAACTACATGAAAATATTGTTAATATTTAGCAAATGGCTGACAATATAAAAGAGCACAAATTAGCTAAGCTCCTGTGGGTCAGCTTCACCTGTAGTGCTCTGTTGCCAATTAAATTAATAGGAAAACCCGAGTGGAGCAAAAAGGAAGTTAGGAAATCAGCAGGGAGCTGTGAAATGAACTGAAAACAAAGAAGCTGCACAGTTTCCTATTCCCTTCCCTCGTTTTCTTGCCTCCTAACTGCCAATTAGACTCATCACATCATAGTTTTAATTCCTGTTATTCAAAGTTCACAACAGCTCATTCACACAAACACACAAATCTGCCTGATTACCGTGTATGAAAACGCTTAAATGATCCGAATGTTGCAGAGTCATGTTGGAAACCTCCCTGCGTCCCTCTTTCCTTCACTGCTCACAGTTTATTTCCTGTACGCTGCCCCTTTCAATCAGTGTCCACAGCTTAACAGTGGTTCCCTCCTGAATGCGGCCTCAAGTATTAGATTTCATTTAGATCTCATTTACAACACAGATGGAACAGGGCGAGCAGCTCCCCATGCAGCCATGTGATTACTGATGGCTTTCAGTGGGAGGATACTCATTTAGCCGCCCTGTTGGCTCAGGTTTCTGCATCTGATGATCGGGTCAGGCCATTAGTGGAGAAAATCAGGAGCCTTTTCTTTAATGGGGTTTATTGTAGTAATTACCATGTCTTTAAGGGACACTGTGTTTTGGGTACTTCAGGTCAGGTGGAGCAGTTGCAAGACACTCAACTCTTTCAGTGACATTTGTAAAAACAGCTGTGTTTTATGTCGTGAAGTTTTTGAGTTTCAAAATGATAAAAAAGATATTCATATTTTGGATTCAAAGCTTTCAAACGTTGTGCAAATCTATGTTGTGTGACTCCTGTTTTGAAACCCTATATTGAAAACACTGGTGCACATCCAAGCATCTTGTTCTACTTCAGAGACCGTCGTCAAAAAAAAGAAGACAAGAAGAAGAAGCTAATTAACGCCAGGTGTGCACGCTGATTGCCCAGGTGCATCAATTAAATTAATGATGTCACAGCTCTAAAGTACTGCACATAACAACACACAACAACACAATGTTGTCTGTAGATGTTCCTGATAGAGATGTAAAAAATACTTTATATATTGACTCTACAAAACAGTATAAAAATGTGTCAATATGTGACTTGGAAATAAAATTTGAACACAGTATCAATTAAATATCAAATTCTTCTTTTTATTTGCATACTGTCATACGCAAGTGGGTCTCATTTAATTCAACCTGCAGCCTCTGATAGTGGAAAAAAAGGATGATGAGGCAGTTCTTTAAGTGTCCACTTGAGGCTTCAAAAGCCAAGGAAGTCCCATTAATGCCCACGCCTAAATGCCCGTCTTTAGAGCAGGAATAAATGTCTTTACAGTCTGGTACAAAAAGTCTAGATAGCTCATTTATTGACTCTTACACACTGTACATTTTTGTGTAACAAGTTTGAAGATATGAAGGTTAAGAGTTTCGCACAATAAGGCAGAATTTGAGGCATAGCTGGCTTGAATGGCTAAAAGCCCTCTTTTCCTTCTGCTAGATTGATTGAAAGTAAGGTTGAGTCAGCTTTTCCAATAAAGCGACCACCATTGTTGGGCTTCAAAATGAAAAGAAAACTGATTCAACCTGATTAAATCTAGGTTGAAAATGAATGAATCAATGAATTGGTAAACAGTGTAGGGCTGCATGGTGGTGAGGTGGAGTTTGAGTGATTTGACTTTGACTGTCATGATAGACTGACAACCAGTCTAAGGTGTACTTGACCACTCGCCCAGTGACAGCTAGTCTTGGTTCCAGCTCCTAGCAACCCCTAATAGAAGTGGTAAAGAATTTTCTGATCCTGCCTATTTACTAACGTAGATATTCTGATATTTCTGGCCCCCTATGTAACCGTAGACCCACAGAATCATCCTAAATTTTCTCTTCATACTCTGACTCTAGAATCAACTATACTTTTATTTAGCTCTGACAGAAACACAGTTTCATTTAATATGAACTGACAGACACCCACAAATAATCGCTCACCCACTCAAGCACACATAACCCCCCCACACACACACACACACCACACACACACACACCACATACATACACTCTAATAAACATGATCAGTAGATATCTTCTTGTGCTTGTCAACATGACATTCCATTTCAGAGACACCTCAAGGTGTCTGAGCTTTCTAATTATCGAGGAGAAACTGCCTGCTTTTCTGCTCCAAATGTGGCAGGCACCAACACCCACAGAGACACAACACACAGTAATACACACAGTTTTCTAATGTTAGTTGGTGCTCGGCTCAGGAACATGTCAGAAGGTCATGATGTACGTCACACGCCTCCCGCACAAACATCATGCCGAGAGTGTGAGCCAATAATTATGTTTGTGACAGGCAGTGAAAGACAGTGAGCATGTGTGCGAGGCGATTAGTCGAGCCACACTTTAGAACCGGTTTTGCAAGGATGCTCCACGGTCTGCTGTTTGTGTCTCCAAAGCCACGTTCCTATGTCAGTAATCGCCGGAGTATCAGCACCCTGACCTTTCAGCTGCATGCTCAGTTACAGAGCGGTCAAAGCATTTAACCTGAGCTCCACTGCTGCATGGACCTCATTAGACTGGCCGACAGTGCATACCAGAGGAGGCCATCTCTAAAACCAGGTGTCAGCCAGTCATTACTCTGCTGTCTGACCCACAGAGCAGCTGGAAATATTCCGGCGTCGAGTGGAAAAACTGAAAATGTCTGCCCATGCCATCAGGCCATGAACACAATAGTTCCTCATCAGCATCATTTGTGTAGAGACAGCAAATAATGCTGTCTGTCTGCTCTTCAGCCTCATTAATCGAGTGACTACAGCGGGCGTGTCTGGCCGCATGTCTGTCTCATGAATGCAGGCATGCAGCGAACTGTCTGGTGGATTGTGATCTTGAACATCGACTAGACATCAACACTCAGTGTGCAGCCCTCAGCAAAAGGAAGCCATCTATTTTTGGAACAGCACCAGGTGTACATGAAGCCAAGTTTACAGTATGCAGTGTGTCTGCGAGTTAAAGTATGTTATGGTGCGGCTGGGAATGTGTCACTTTATTAGAACAATAAGAGCTCTGTGATAACAGCTGCAGCAAACTGCAATGGCTCTGTTGTCTCTGCACCAGACTTGCCATGTTGTAGTGGGAGTAATGCTTTGTGTTGTATGATGCCTTTGTTCAGAGTCTGTTCCATTTAAAACATTAGTCACGAGTAAGTATTAAAATGTTCTGTCCAAGTCTGAGAACAACAACAACGCAGGAACAACTCTATATTTAAATGTTTTGTTCTGCATCACTTGTATTAAATATTGCTGATTAAAATTTCTTAGTCAATCAAGTTGGCACCTTGTGCTGTCAAGTCTCTTATTTCAAAAGACCACTTATTCAAATATACAGAAATATGCAAGAGACAGAGGTGCAAGTATACAGTAAAGTTTGGAAAAGCAAAAAAAGAAAAAAGTGTTTGATCACACATGAGCGTATTCAAAAGACTTTTAATGCATCCAGCTTATAACAATGTTCATAAAATGCTATAAGCATAGACTGTATGGACAACTTGGTTCTGCCTTCCGCCTGTATATGGATTTGATGCCAAAAAGCTCTCAGTATTTCCACGATTTTTCTCCACTTCCTGAAACCAACATTGTGCAGTAGCGTTATACGCACTCCACCACTTGTGCAGTAGTTTCGTACACATTTGGCAGGAGAGTTGCCAAGAGTCGCCGTGCTGATGCTCGGCTCAAACAGTGTATCCCACAGGTGAGCTACACAATCTTCGTACGCTCATAGGCTGTATCAGGTGTCAATCATAGAAAACATGAACTCCCTAATAACTTATAAAAACTGAGCTGTACAGAAAAAAAGAGGACTTGAGCACAAACCAGTCTTACAATAGCTTCATTGTTGTCTATATCGCAACCAGGGGGGTGAAAAATTTATATTCTGTGTAATAAATTTCTAAAGTTTGTCCACAGCTCCTTAAGGATGGCGGAAGAGGCGTGATTTATGACCTATACTGCAGCCTGTCACCAGAGGGTGCTGTTCTCAGGGTGGCTTCACCCTGTGAGGAGGCAGACGACGTCTATTCCATATACAGTCTATGGCTAAAAGTAGTGAGCATTGTGCCTCATAAAGATGCAGTTTATAATTCATTATACCTTCATGCAAAAGACAAAATAGCGTCTTTTAAATTTTGGGTTTAATAACTCATTAAAACCCTCACTACTTAAGTGGGTTATAAAGGATCATAAAAAACTCCCTTGTTAAGAAAAAAAGATAAAAATTCTATGATTCTCAATTTAGAAAACGTCTTATTCATACTCACATAATACACATAAATTTGATTTTGAGTGTTTTAAGTAAAGCGACAACACTGCATGAGGTTCTTAACAGTTTAATGTTTCTGTAACACACTTAAGAGACTTTATAAGCAGTATTTTTGTGTCTGTAAGTGACACGTCAGACAAAAATACTTAACAACTAAACACTTTAACAATTTTACCTCATAATACCTCATGAACATTTCTATAAGCTGTTTTTAATGCTCATCATCACTCAGGGTTGTTTAAAAGCTTTATAGATGCATTTATAAGGCTTTACACATGTGTTCATAATGCATTATAAGAAGTGGGTTACCAAATGTTTTAGTTGGCTGTGTTGACCTTACAAAATGCATATGAAAAAACTCAGAATCTGTTTTTGCTCATTACTGTTTGTTTCAAATGACACAATATCCCGCCTGCAGGACTATAGAGGTTGTGTGGTTACACTAAATACCAGCAAAGCTAACCTTATCTTGCTGCACACAGCGATGCTGATATCCTACACCACTACTCTTCCTCCTGTGCAATATTGCTCGGACAAATATCTTGCAGTGAAACAACACTGCTGGTACTGTAATGAAGGGATGTACAGACATTAATGTTTTCTAACTCTCCATGCTTCTTTTTCTCTGTGTCTACTTTTTTCAGATGAGTATAACCCTTTCGTTCCCAAGCTGGAGAAGAGCGTCAGCGGAAGCAGCCCGTCCAGGGATCGCCTTCTCCTCACAGTGACGATGCTCCTTCTGGCGGCTCTCTTCATCTCCTAGCAACGGCCATCCCATCGGCATTACCATGCCAACTAGCCTTGGGAGGGTGTGCAGTATCAGCGGGTGGGAGAGTGAAGGGAGAGCTTGGGAGAGAGGGGTTCTGGAGGAGAGCTACAGATACCACAAATGGAGTGGAAGTCAAGAGGAGCGAGAAATGAGAGTTTCTAGGCATCACAGTGTGACTGTGAGCGTGTGAGAGAGAGAGAGACTGTGTGTGTGTTCGTGTGTGTGTGTGTGTGTGTGTGTGTGTGTCAAAGGCTGTGAGTTTGGTAAGGTTAAGAGACCTCCAGGCACTGGGTGACACAAGATGAACTTTTGTTCAACTGCAGTCAGCCCGTACACACAGATGCAGGTGTGGTAGTCTGTGTGAGAGTGTGTCTGTGTCTGTGTGTGTTTGTGTGTCTGAACAGGCCACAGGCTGAGCATGTTGAATCATGCTCACCTCACAAAGCATTTCTAAAACAGGAGAGGCGGGGCTGATACCCTTATTAAAAGAAGATAAGCATCAAATCAACCCACCGTTTGAAAACCATTTGAGGACTTTCTCCTGGATATGATTGGCTGAAACACTTCTTAGGGCTAGTTGCCATAGTTCCTATTTGCAACAAGACATAAACTGAACTCAAATGAACTGACGCAAATAGATTTCAGCAGAACTGAACTTTAAAATGCCTTTTTTGTTGTCAATGTTGTCGATCTTGATCCTGGGAACTTGTCCTGGTCCACGGAGGAGAAAAAAAAAAGGTACCAGCTCAAGATCTGCACTGGTCCTGTGTAGGAGACTAGTCAAAGTAGCTTATAGTTCAAAAACACAACCTGGAACTCCAGTGCAGGTGTTTTAGTTGCCATCTTGTTTTCAACATCACTTCTCTAATGAAGGACACTAGGCTAGGTGGGGTTTGGGGGGGAGAATACAGAGCATTTAAACCATGATACATTCACTTTAATAAAAATTGTATTGGGGGAAGAAAGAGGAGGAGTTTGTTGTAGATGTGCCATTGACAGACTCTGTAAGGGTTTATTGATGTGATAAGTTGCTGTGTTTCTTTTTTGTCCTGGACCGGGTTGGTCCTCAATCATCTCCTTGGTTAACGGAGCACACAAACAGCTACGAAGCAGCCATGGATACCCGCGGCTTTGCTGTCCTCCTCTTAAAGGACTGCAAGCTGTTTGAAGAAAAAGAGGAAGGAGGGAGGACAGTCACCCGCACAAAGCATCTACATTATATCCGGGACAAAAGCAAGCTCAAATCTCATTTATCAGATGCCACATGTTAACATTTTCAGTTTCTGTACAAATGTGTGCTTGCAGGACAAAACATAAGTCTGAGTGAGTCATGTGTATGAGTGTTTAAGAGAGACAGAGACTATTTTAAATGGTACTAACAGCCTGATATACATCCACATACTGTACATCTTCTAAGTATAAAAATGCAAAATAAAAAAAAAATCAAAACACAACTAAAGCAACAAAGTAATACATACAAACCAAGTGCTTTGGTGGGGAGGTATGGCAGTCCAAAACTCGAACAACTGTACCAGTGGTTGCATCAGAATAGCGTTTCCATAGCAACTAGCACCTTATTCACCATGGTTACCCCACCCTGCCAGTTATGGACTGTAGTCAGGCATGGCTTACTGTAGTAACCAATAACAATGATGAAGGGTATAGTGGTCATATAGATGAGGAGGATAGTGATAGACTGCAAACCAGGTCACGCTGCCGATCACCCACCGGCATGAGAGATGTTCAAGTACTCATGTAAATGTCAGTAACGGACAAAGACTGGATTTACAATGTGTTGAAATTTGCCAAGGTGGAATGTGATGTAAGCATTTTTACAAACTTGAAGCTCAGTTTCCTTTTTTTTTATCATTGTTGCGTTGAGTTTACCATGGTGTATTTTTGGTCAGCTTAAGGGGAAATACGGGGTTAAAAGTTAGAAAACTGGGCGGGTTAAGCCATATGTAAACTTGGGTTTCAGTGTGTTCATCTCAAAAAAGGGAGAATGATCAACTTCAAGGTTTGGTTACCTTATAGAGTATGTTAACCTTTGTTCAACACTGACACACATTCATATATCTGTGGTTCCCTTATTTTTGGCTTTGCAACTCCTTTGAGAGTCATTCAACCAGCTATTCATAAAAAATGAATGAACTCAATCTTCGGTTTAGTGCTGATTAGATTAAGAAAAGTTGCATATGTCTTAAAAAAACAATTCAATCAGGATCACTTTGTCAAAATTCTGCTTGATCGTGCAAAGTTAAATCTACCGGTATAGTTCTGTTCTGGGTCCCTGCCCTTCCACGCGCTTGTGCAGAAGCCAGAGGCAGGAAGAGCCCTACCTGCCCTTCTTAAGCCATCATGAAAAGGCGATAGCAGGGAGCACACGCAAGGTTCTGTTCAGGGCCCCCCGAACAGAACCTCACGTAAGAGGCCAGCAGCAGGAACAACGGGGGGTAGAGCAGTGATGAACAGAACTTCCCCGGAACAGGAGCACTTCAAGGGTAGTGGAGCAGTTTAGCCGGCACAAGGGTGGAGCTGGGTTGCTGGTTGGCTGTCGAAGCAGAGGAAGAGGCTGAGTTAGGGCCGTTTTAAATAGGGCGCTCTAAAGGCATAGGACCAATAGGAGCTAGGAGGAAATAGCTGGGCCATCAGCTGGTTAAGGTGGCTACTTGCCATTGGCTGCGGATCAGCGCTTGACGTTGTGACCTGCCAGAACTAACGCTATGCTTTATTTAGTCATTTTTGATTTGACTTTATTCTGAACTTTCTTAATTTAAACACATCATTCAGTCTTTGAGCTTAAAGAGAAGAAACGTTCATGCAGAGATGGTCTTGCTTAAGATTTATGCGGTTTTATTCTGGGTTAATTTGATCAAGTGTTTCTGGAACTTAACTTAAAGTAGAATTATGTCCCACGCTGAAGTACCAATTTAAAGTAAAAGTTTGTGGATTTTCTCTTTCTGTCTAAGTTAGGTCAGATGAGGTCTCGGCCTAAAATTGTTGCTGATGTTTTTCTTTTCTTAAAAGTCCAGGATGAAATTGGAGCAGCTGAAAATCTGATATCCTTCTTGCCATTAGTACCATCAACAGCTCTCCGCTTACCACTTTCTGCTAGTGTAGCACATTTTGTTTAGCTTTCTATCATTTTGGTAGATTCCATTTACCATCAGCAGTGATTGAACAATCAAATAAATTGTGTCAAAACTGGGGCAGCAGTTTTTTAGTTTTAACTCCCTAGTTTCCTCTTCTGTTCTCTTTTCTGTTTCTAAATTAAGGCATTAAAAGGCAGATTAAAAAATTGGCAGAACTTCTTCAACTCTCTGGTTTGGTCAGCTATTTACTATTTCAAGAATAAGAGGAAAAGTTGAAGCTGATTTTGCATTAGAGTAGACGTATTGTATCACACATGGGTTGGGAACCACAAATATATAATTTTGTTGTGTTTTTGTTTCAAAAGGTGTGTGTCAGTGAAAGTATTTCCTCAACAAAACTTGAAATAGAGAGAGTCGCATTTATGGAATCCAACAAGGATTTTTATTGTTCAGCAGCACCGTGCATTAGTGCATTATGACAGCAGGTGGAAGAACCCAGGCGTATATATGGCTCTCAGTGGGAGGGCAGGGTCAGAGGGGTTGAAGAGCTGTGCAAGAGGGAAAATCACTCTTCAAGAAGTTGCACTTATGAATTTAGACACGAGAGCAAGAGAGAGAGAGAGTGTGTGTGTGTGTGATAAAGTTTGTATGTGTGAGAGAGAGAGAGAGAGAGAGGGAGGATGACTCAGAGCTCATATCTGTTAATCACTTCATGTCTGCGTACAGGAGTTTTAGCATGAGATGCTGTCTGTCTCTGTGTGCTGGTGTCAGTGTGTTAATGTGTGAGTGAGCAGCTCTTACGGTGTGAGTGTGTGTGTGTGTGTGTGTGTGTGTGTGTGTGTGTGTGTGTGTGTCTGCGAGAGAGCGTGAATGAGTGTTGTCTGGCAAAACAAAAAAAGCATTTATTAGTGTTGGAAACAACGATTACAATCATGTTTACCTTCGACTGGAATGACTTTAAATGAACTTGAAAATAAACTGTAAACTGAACAAACCATAACAGAGGTTATAACAATGATCATGATAACAAAATAATAAGCTTACAAATCTTACTTTTAACAACATGTGTGTTCGCCTCTTTTTTCCTTAAAGCCCCTCTTTGCCTTTCTTGCTTTCACTGTCTGAAGATGTGAGAAAAAGAGGGAACAAGCGTGCGGCTAATCAAAGACAACAGATGGAGGGGTTCCAAGGACATTTTTACCTGTGATAAATTCACTTCTCTGCAGATAAAGCTGTCTGGGAGCTCACAGATGTGATTTTCTATATCAGGGTTGGCGTGGCGACGCTCTCCCTCAGCAGTAATACCTTTACACGCTCCGATTAGATGAGATAAGCGCTTCAATCAGCAGCCACACATTTGAATGACAATAGGACAGTGTGTACCTGTGTGTGTGCGTGTAGCAGCTGATGAGAGGATAAAGCCACTACTGGTGTCAGAGTTTAGCCAGACTCGCTATCAGTGATCTTACGCGTACATGAGTCGCTCTGCTCTGACTCACAGAACAGCACAAGGTCACAGATGCACAGATAGAGGTCAGCGGGTTTCATGTGATTCACATATTTCAGGTTTTTATCTGGAGATCTACAAAGAGAGTTAAGAGTTGTTTTATGAAAGATAAAGTATCAAGTTTGTCTGTGGTCAGCAAAGTCCTAAAGTTTGTGTTTAGGTTGCAAACATAGAAAAACTTGTGTAGAACTGGTGTTAAAGTGATACTCTACAAACCTAGAGTACTTACTTACACTGAAGTGTTATACTTAAACACTCAGAAAGTCACAAATCAATCAGCCAAATAAGTCAGAGTTTGTTATTATTTCAAAGAGGAAATATTATGCTTTTCCAAACTTTATTAACGAAATGTACGTTAAAATGTTGGATACAAAATGCCAATTCTATGTCAGCACATCAATACTGACCCTCGGCAAAGTTTCAAAGTGTAAGAAAAATGGATGAAATGTCAGCTGGAGAGCAGAACCAAAACATTAGAGGGACATTAGACTTTCTCAATATGTGATGTCATCCATCGGTGAATCGCCTTATGAAAGCCTCATAAACAAACTAAACAGGAATGTCCTGCTCTGTTTTTTGTTGCAGGTGATTTTCTTGTTTTTCCCTTTTCAAAAATATGGTTGTATTTCATAATTCCTCATTCCAACTCATTGACTTTATATAGAATGGCTTATGTGTTGTCATTTCCACCCACTGGGAGATGCGAAGTCAAAATACCACCTTAATAGGCACTGACAAGGCATGTGCAGAAGCACCTCAACCAGAGCAGCTGCAGGACTGAAATGACAAACCACCTGCTCATCAAGACACGCATTTAACTCGACGTCAAAGATCCTCCAGGTGGGTACAATCTGAGCAGAAAAGGTTCTTGTGCTGATTTGAAGATGACAAGTCAAACTAGAGAATCATATAACCATTCCTCCTCAGATTTGCTAATGTGGTACAAACCACTACAGGAGCCCACAATTGTCAACAGAGCTACCAATCAATGCCCCTTTTAAAATCTGCTAACTTATCAAAACTTCACTCTTCAGAAAATGAACACTTAGAAGTAAACTAGTATTACAAAACCTAACTACAATGACAACGTGTTTGAGAAACATGTATTTGATGTGTGTTAAATGTTGAATTTGACCCATATTCCTTCTGTTATAATTGAGGGAGCAGGGTTTGTGACCTATACGACAGCCAGTCAACAGGGGGAGCTCTAAACCTTTTTGCCTCACGGACAGTAAATAAAGCATCCATGTTAGTTTACGGTCTGTTCTAAAAAAGAGTAACATCAGTTAACCGATGACAATGACTTGGTGGTGTGGAAACAGCTGAAGAGGCTTCTGAGAGCTGAATCAAATAAGTGGTTCAAACAGATGCTGTAATTCAAGAAATGAAGAGGTTTTTGAGTTTTAAATCATGTAAAGCTACTTCAGAAGTTATTTAGAGTAGTAGCAAAAAGCCTGAAAATGAGCATATTATCCTCCCTGTAACCATTGCAGTTATTTTTAAGCAGATAGCCAAAATGTCTCCTTTTCTGAGCTTTAAAATGAGGATTTCTCAATGTACTGTGTTTGGTTCAAGCCTCCATGAGGAGTTTTTTTGCTGCTAACAAAGCTGACTAAAATGACTACTGATGCCTCTTTATGACCTTCAAACACAAACTAGACTATTTGCGGGGGAATAATGTCAAACAAGACAATTCAGCTAAGGGTATTAAACAACTACTTTCTCATGTTTCAAACAGCAAAGTTTCCTTGTGAGCAATACGTGACTTTTGAGTGACATTTTTGTTAGAAAATACTACCTGTCGGACATGTACAGGACAATGAACAAAGAAAAATACAGCTTGTTACTTGTAAAAAGGTTTTCAGTGTACAGGCTGTAACGCTTGTACTGATGAATATAATCTCCCAATTACTCCATGGTTTTATGAAATACAACACTACTTCACAAGAGCGAAGTTTAGAAGACTGTGACCAGTTGTGTACTCAATTTCCAGGGAATCAGGTGAATCATCTCCTCAGGTTTTGCAACACCAAAAAATCCTCCTTTTTGACATTTTTCTGTGATTACCTTCAGAACAAACAGCCTTTCAAACCTCCACAGACTCTTTATCAGAGGAATGCAAGCTAGTCATACGGTGCTTATCATAAAAATGCATCTTTATTATTTCCATTTGGGGATAGACTCATCATCATCCCACTGTAAGAGGATCCAGGCGCTGAATCAGACGCAAGGGAGGTTTGAGAAGTAAACTTCAGGGATGAGTGCAATGACTGGCAGCAGATCATATTCCAGCAACTCTAAGTCTACTCTTCCCAGAATCACTGACTCACTTCAGGATGAAAACAAGCCCAAAGACATTTTACATAAAAATGTGAAACGGTCAAAAAAAAAACATCCCTTTTGTATTATTCATTGTTATTCTTCCATCCTTCCTGACCGAGGCCGGATAGTTGATACAGCTCACTCATGCTGAGGTTAAAGACACTCTGCTCACATACTCTCTATGTCTTACTGATAAGCCAAAAGCTCTGGACTCACCTGTTTTCTCTTCCATGCTGCAGTATACCAGGCTGACCACTTGGTGCCGCTGTTCAGTCACAGCTTCACAGAGGTGCTGCCTCCTGATGCCCCAGCTTTGTAATCCTTTATCAGAGAGCATAAATCCATTAAAGCCACAATGGGCATTGTGTAACAGTGTCGCAGGGATTAAACGTGCAGATTTATTTTACTGGGTTATGATATAACTGTTTATTTGCCACATTTTGTAGCTGCTGAGTGTACAGACAAGAGATGTTTTGACTCCCCAAAGATAACAAATGTATCCGTAGAGGGGCAAAGACATGCAATCACTCATACCAACCTGTTAAAAAATTATGCAACAACTATCCATCAGAGACCTCAGAGATCTGCTGTTGAAACTCGAGGTCTTCCAGTCACGAACACGCAGACAGCTTCTGACTGCGTTCATTTGTCACAATGAATTCAGAGAAACATCTCTGCTCTCCCCGACTGTGTTTGTTTTAGCGAGAAACTAATGTCATGCATGGTCAGGCTTGTGAATACAAAGCTGTTTACTTTGGACATTGTTCTACCATTATCTAACACATACACATGCATACACAGACGCACACGCACAGCTGTTGACAACTTTGCGAGGGGCTGTCAATGTTACAGCTAACTGCCTTCATCGCACAGCTGACCTTTAGTTACAACTTCTCCTAAAGTATAATGCATTTTTAATACTGATATAAAATGATTCTTTCATTACCATACCCATAATGCCTCAGATGCCCCACAACTTCAAATCACGCACACATATTGCTCTGAAGACGCCCCTTAAAAAGGTTCAAGTGGTTCATAGTTGTGATTCATAGTTTTTCATTTTTAAAAACTGACATTTTGTTTTTGTAAATTGGTCAGTGTGTTGTAGGAACTATTTTTTAAGGTGTTGTTCCAGTTTTGAATCTTGTCCTGGGTGAAATGTTATCATAACTAAAAAACGTGACTTGACCAACATAAATATGATTCATTAAACTCAGTTTTCATGAACATGTGTTTTTTATATTTACGAAAACATAAGCCTCCCCACACCCATCCGTCAGTAACACCCAAAGACGTTTCAGCAGAAAAACATCAACACACAAGAAACAGATGATGATGATCCCGTGTTGACACACGCCCTGCACCCTGTGCTCCCTGAGTCACGTCTGCGTGGTGATATGAGCTGTGAGAGCAGAGATGAGGCAAAGCAAAGCCCTCCAACTCTGCCTTATGGCTCCTGTTTGAAAAAAATAAGCTGCTCCTCGCCTTTCTGATGGTCTATGATTGATGAATGATGTCTGCTGCTCAGTCTGACGACATGCAATGGGCATAAGGACAAATGAGACAAGTGTTTTTTAGTGCCCACGTACTGTATGTGGTGGGGATGCTACATGTGCTACATGTGCTGTGATGGCACCTGCCTCTATGTTGTTCTGGTGGCCACACTGGTTTGTATGTGCTTCTTAAGAGGTGCCTGATGAACTCCAGTGTGGTGATATATTAGCTTGGTGGCCTTGCTCTCTCAGGCTTCCTCGCATTCACTCTTGACCAGCGTTGCACCATCGCCTAAGTTAGATCTCAGTTAGTGCACTCCTTAACACCCCTCACTACACCACGCTCACACACTCACATGCACACTACTGATCTTACAGACCCCATACACCTCATACTTTATCACTTTTTATCAGTTTATTTATCTTAATTTGTAAAAAAATGTTTTACCTACTTGTGTGTGTGTGTGTGTGTGTGTGTGTGTGTGTGTGTGTGTGTGTGTGTGTGTGTGTGTGTGTGTGTGTGTGTGTGTGTGTGTGTGTGTGCAAACTATAATCATCCCCTCAAACATTGTGAGACTACTAACTTTTAGGTATCTTAATTTACCATGAATCAACAAGTTTGGACACTTGTTGAGTGTATTTGTGCTAAAATTAAAGGGGCCATGGCATGAAAAACTGACTTTGTTAACGGGAGGGGGGTGCATATCAGGGATAGAAAACAGCTACAATCCCCCCAAGTT